TTCACTTGCCCACACCCAGGTAGTAATTGGTGAGTGAGAGTCTGTATTATATCTTCCGGAGTACCGACTGACCATGCTACTCAATATCAAAAGGTCATGTCACAGATAGAAATAGACAAGTGAATAGACAGCTCGGTAATAACGCCTTATGTATGTAGCTCAAGGCAATCAGTCAACCAGATAGCTAGTTCTCATAACCTCGACTGTATAATTACAGTTTATCTCGGAGAATGTTGAAATCTTAGCCGCTACAAATAACCGGTAAATAACAAGTACAGGTTTATTTAGCGATATTTCTACCGGCAAGAAGTATACCAGATGCAGAGATAGTAACTAATGTATGACGGAAGAGAATTTGGATCTTAGCGAGATCCTAGAATAGAGACATTGGTTGGTATCGACAAAAACATATGGGAAGACATATCTTCATAAAAGAACAATATCAAAGTAATTAATTCATTTGACAATTCTGAATGGTTTTAATAGCGGTTGAACTAGAAGGTATAGCCAGATAATCGCAGATCGCATATCTTATTGAGATACTCTCCCGTCGATTTGTTGCCTGCTCCTCCTCCACTTCAATGGGGAAGGATAAGTTTCCGGTCAAGTAGCAAATTTTGCATCATTGGCAAACTGATGGGCTCACTGAATCCAAGCAATATATGAGAGCTTGTACGTCCTTTAACTGTCCCACGTCACGGTATTACCCTTTTTCGCTCATGCTAACCAAGTGATTCGAGCGGAAGCCACATTAAATTAAATTACCAAAGTCTCAACATACCCCCATCCAAAGGCTTCCATTTCTAAGCATCTTCAGCAGTAAAAGAAAAAGCATATCGATAAAAAAAATGACCACGGTCTGCCACTACAGACTGTATTGAATCATAGTATTTATCTCGTTCCCATATGTATAGTCACTTTGCACAAACTTTCTGCTTCACGATCGAGGAAAATTGGTCTGCGTCTGAAATCTCAGATGATAGCGCAAAGCATAAATTCATGGTGGAAGTTTTGGATAATAACAAAACTGCATACGTCTATGGACAATGTCTGCACCTTCTAGTGATGCCACTTACATACTTACGAAGGAACAAAGCATGTGCAAGTGGAGGCTTGTCTATCGACGCCATCAATTTGATTCCTTGAAGTATTTCTGCTTAGTCAAGTGAGCAAAATCTGCTTGATCATTGTTTTTATAGTAACATTGGCGCTTCTACCATGTAAGCTATAAATCCAGTCGTGGCTCGAAAGACACAGGTCCATACTGCGAACACCATCCGCCGAATAGTGTCGGTAGTGGAAACTCCTTTAAGCTTTTTCTTTTTTTACAATTGTGGTAGATTTAAGGAAGATTCTTCTGTAGGCCAATGTCGAAGACTAACCGCTGTGCTATTAGTGCTCAATACGGTCACTGTTCCAAATACCACCCACAATTGGCGACTCATTGGGAGGTTAGATTGATAGTATAATGAAACTATCGAATTTGATACATTAATATTGAGGTTTGGTTCGGTTTATTCCCTGAACATTTTGTCTTTTGGCAGCGAGTGGATGCAGACTAGAAAATATTCAACTAATTGATTAAAACTAGCATTGTGATGTAAAGTAAGCTATACCCATCTGCCTAACGATAAAATAGCGAAATCCAACGCTCACGTTTTCCACCAAGATCAACCTATCGTAGTGCCACGCAGACACTTGGAAGAAAAATCAGTTTTGGATTCATAGGACGCTCTTAAGGTTCTGATGTAAAGCTTCCATGAGCTTGCTAGGGAAGCAACACTTTTGTGGCCACTTTCTATCATTTTATCGATTCAAACAAATGGTTTTACGGGAATTATAACAAAACTGTTCAATGGCAGCGACAATGACAACGAATTTTCCGGCAATATTAAATAGTTGCAGTGAATGACAATCACAATGTAAGCAACACCAAAATAAAAATTTTGCTAAACTGATCTCATACTCGGTGACAATTATTCGCTGAATTAGACTGGTTTGCCGCTACCAATGCAAGGAATGAGCATTCCATTGAACTTATAAAACTGCAATAGTGGACTACGGTCGATTCGCACATTTTTCGAATAAGCCCCTGATTCTCTGAAACTTGGCCTCTTCATTAGCAAGATAGAAAGCGGGTAATTTATAGAACTGGTGGAGTACAATTGGAAAATGTAATTGACTTGAGTGGGGCATGGATTGTTTGTCTTGATTGTGATGATGCCGTTTCTTTGAAATCATATGGCCCGCACTGTAAGGAAATTGTGAATCTCAATCCATATAAAAGAACGTCAAATATCTATATTTGAAGTTTGAAAGAAGCTCGATAGTCAAGATTTTTGTTCACAGGAGAATTCTATGGATACAAACCAGTACGGAAAGTGTCTTCTGAAAAGGTCCATCAAGCGTGACTAAAAGCTGCAGCACTTAATGCGAGGTGGATTTTGACCGATAACTGATGAATATTGGCGATTCCTTGCTGTAAGTTACCTCAATAATTGTGCTTAGTCGAGGTGATATTGTCTCCAACGAATCGAAATATTTATCGGTCAATCACCCTAGACGAATAGCTATTGACAACCATAGTGACAATACTGCTGATCATAGGACTGACTTGACCATATTACCGAGCTTCAGCATTTCGCTTATCAATGAATATCAATGGTTGCTTCTTGGGAAAATCGCATATCTCTGCAAGATTTTAAATTTTTGCATCATACCGTTGAGAAAAAGTCACAGAAAGAAACTTTATAAAGGCTTACGGAAATCCATGAGAGAAAAACGTAGAACCGGGTGACTAATCAAAATTCCTCCTCGCTAACTCCTTTTCTGCAGAATGAAATTATTTGCTCAATCACAACAAGGTGGGTGATCTCAGCTCTCTGTGTGTACGGGTAATGGGTTCGTTCATGAGTCTATGTTGGCCATATTAGAACCTTCCTAAGTATAAACGCTCAAATACTCGTTTCATTTTAATTGTAAAAAACTATAAAAAAAAGTCCCCTACCCCCATGCCGGCCATGGGTAGGGGACTTATGGGCACAACGAGCCAAGCGTGTAAAGTAAAATGTGACGTAACTGGAGATTGGATCGAGTTTATACGCAAGTCATAAACCCGAAGCTCACAGGATAGCTATGCAAGCTGTACAATAGTCTTTATTCCGATCGTATAGGATGGAATGTCGGTAACAGTTTCTCGGCGCGACAACAGTCAAAATATAGCGATACTTGAGGAAAGGGTTCTCTCTTGATTTTGCAAAGCGTATTCGCGTGGTAGCTATAGAGTTTAGCTCACAGTTAGTCACGAGCAATCAAAATTTCCTTGCAACGTTGGAAGCACTGTTTCAGCTGCCCCAGAGAGTTGAAGGAAAATCTAAAGTACCAATCTAGTTCGATTTATATGAAATCAAAACTATCTGGCCTGCTGAGTAGAGCAGGTGTTTTATTCACTTCTTGTCATTCTCGGTGATTCGTCCCCAAAACTCTACACTTTTGCCTTTTCCATCAGCGGTTGTGGAGGATATTGTATAGACTCCGGTGCCTAGAGAATGGAAAATAGACAGACGGAGCTTCCGGAGAGATATTCTCCACAACTGCTTGACCTTATTCACTAGAGTACTAAAATAGCTCTTCTGGAAGTTGTGTATATAAACATATTTGAACTCTCTAATTATACTTAAAAAACTTCCTAAACACCCACGGCCCACGCACAGGAGCAGGTTTCCTGGTAAGTTTAGATAGTGATACCTTGTCTCAATAGATGTTGGGGCATAGAAGATAATATTTTGTAGGATTATGCCAAACTTAAGTTTCAGTATTATCTCCTTCGAAAGCTCGTTGGCATCTTGTAATCACAGTATATGACAACCAAAGTGATAAAAATACTAGAATAAGGAAGAATAAGTGTTCTCCTCTGATATTTAACCTCCTGCTTTGACAACAAAATATCTATCAGGCTCAAGAGTAGGTGCAGCACAAATAGCAAACAAAATCCTGGGTGTCTTCCATAGATTCTCGAAAGATACCATAAACTGATCATCATCTGCGTTTAGAATTATCATCTATCATTCGCTTTCTTTTCCTACATCTCTAAGCGTCTTTACTCATTGCTCTTCGCTTTTATCTCCTTAACGACACTACGAAGTTATTATACAACAAATGAGAAAACCAGGTGAAATAAATACAGACGATTACCACTCTATTGCACTTCCCTTCCTGGGTCACTCCAACGAAAGATAATGCTTGCGCTAGAACCATTGCCCTTGGTCTGTTGTTTGCAAACTCAAACGACTATGCTGTTTTGCACCAGTATAATGATTCTTTAAACATACATATATCGGACGTACCTCAAACGCTGCGGGAAGATTCAAAAAGGCCTTCACTAGTAGAGTTACCTGCGTGTATGATGCAATTTTAAGCATACTAAGTTGAACCACTGGTCCATGTTAACTCCAAAGCGACGGTATTTACATACTATTACCTCCCTATTTCGGACTAGAAAAATAGCAATGTCTTAAAGTAAAATATTACATTAGATCACATATTATCCGAATAGAACTCGGTGAGTTAGTAAGGATCACTCATTTGCGTCATATCAACGCAGAAAGATCCCTCGAGCAAATGTGCCATCGTTATTTTCCGAGCTCATATAAGGTTACGCCAGGTCAGATAGCAGACAATGATGGCGCCATTAATCCAATTTAGACACCAGCAGCTACGTATCCAAAAAGGGACAGTTACCCGAACCTTTGAAGATGAGCAGCCACTGGGCTTCCCATGTGGAAGAATTTGCATTCATACCATTGAAGTTAATCTATGAAAATCCTAAGACGGAAAAAAGAAGTAGTAATTTTTTTCGACGGTTTCACTGTGACGATTGGTGTACAAATAGTCCCATGGCATCACTCGAGCATGGATCTAATATCAAATCTTCAACGTTCCATGTGCTCAAGCGCAAAGAAATAGCTATGTGTGAATTACCATCTTAAATCCTCAAACCCATCGTTGCATATCGCAGATTATGGGAATCGAAATTGAAATGTGATATCAATATTACCTACATTTTGCTATGCCGTTTACGCCCGTTCCATATTCGGGGTATCCTGTTCTCATCTATCGTAAATTTTCACATACCCACCATGTAAACGCCTTTTAGTAACTATCCACGCAATAAATAGCAGCAAACGCAGCACAATCTTTCCTATCTCAGACATTATATCCACTTGAAGTTCCCACACCATCGAGATCCATAAATTGATCGATATCTGGTATAACAACACTTGGAGGCGGAACAGTGGTTTCCGGGAACAAATTATCAGCCGGAGGGCCATCCAGGCCTCTTCCCACCTTGAAGTCATCGGGAACTGACTTACTCAGAGTCATTCTCCTATTCTTCTGTCTTTTTCCAGTTCCTCCAATAGTATCCCCTCTTCCATTCATCCACAAACTAGCATCACTAGTTTCACCTCGTCCTATACCAAGTTGGTATGCTTCCAACCCTCTCAGAACCGGTAATAGAAGCCGTGTCTCGTACCAACGACCTTTGACATCAGCCAAGCCTCGACGGGCTGCTGGTTCAAGTAATTGCCATTCATACCAAGTACGTTTTTTGGCATTATCTGCTACCTCGTTGCGGAATCGTAAATCTGCCACCATTCGAGCAGGTAAGTCAGGTGTAGGCCACTGAGAACGACTGCTATAAGGCATCGGCATCTCGACGAATTTGTAAATATCACCCAGGAAGGTTACTATAGTCAGAAGAGGATTTGGCTGAACGGTACGTTCAATGAGCTTTTGAATGACGAGGACCACAATTGCATCCCCTTCCACGCGCAGACGAACTGGCTCGCCAACCCAAATCTTTTCGGCTCCAAGAAACATTCCATTGTAATGGACTTCTCCGGAAGAAGCCAGAGCCTTTTCTATTCTGTCGAACAGAGAATAACTTCCGTCGATGACTTTCGCGGCCAAGATGCTACCATCGACTTGATAATCTCCTCCACCATATTCGCCTCGAATTATACGATCCCAAGGGACCTCGTCATAAGGAAGATTATTTAGGGCACTAATCGTGGTTTGCGGTACGCTCCAAGCAAGCCAAGGCCTAATGGATTCTTGTTCATTAATTTGAGCGGCGGGATGTGTAATTGGATGAGAGAGTGGTTGAACCAAATATTGAGCTGTAAAATTTTCAATTCTTCGTTTCGATATGACTGCAAGACCCCAAGCATGCCCTCTGTTAAACCAGACCAACTCTCCAGTGCGATAGATGAATCCACTATTAGGATCGCTATCGAGCCTTTGTTCTGGCGATCGAATCGATAAAATGGGCTGAGAAGGTGGCTTTGAAGATCCAGAAGATGAAACTGCGGACCCTGAAGCAGACGCTGAAGTAGAGACAGACTTTTGAGGTGTGCTGACAATCGGCATGCTATCCTTCTTCGCTTCCTTCTTCAATTGGGGTGTGCTGACAACTGGTATGGTTGCCTTATTTACTTCCTTCTTCGACACTGCCCCGCTGTCCTGTTTGGGTGTATCTTCTTGTGTATCATCCTCCCCGAATGGCGAACAGACTTTGCAGGAACAATTCCTTGGGTCGCCATCTTTATCTGTACTCAACCAAAGTACATGCGGAAAGAAATCTGCAGGACTTCGATATCTCTTCTTTCGGCCTTGAGGGTGTCCGTATAAATAAGTATCTTGTCGTTCGTATGCTCCAGCTGCGTGTTTGCCCTTTTCCCTCTTCTGTTCTGCCTCTAATTTATTCTTATTATATTTGAGGTGTTCCCACAAAACATATCCTTCGGGCAGATCTTTGAGTACGTAATTTCTATCTGCAGTGACGTTAGTTATTGATGAAAGAGTTTGGGATTAAGGTATGAATTACCAGAATGCTCCTTTCCACCCAAATAATGCATCAACATGCCACCAATCTTTCTCCTCCAATCTACAGCTTTCGGTTCGTCATATTCGAGCTTCTTATAACAATCGACATTCCCTTCCGCATCCTCTTTATCGCTCAATTGCGTTGGTGTTGGTTGATTCAATTCTTTGACTCCTGTCTTTGTAATGACTTCTAACTGACCATCAGACCTGCAGATAGTGACAGGATAAAAGGGTGCCATGATGGCTACTGTATTAGAGGAAACAATTAATAATGGGAGGGTTCAAGAAGTATCACAATACCACAATAATTATGGAGATGAGCTAGGGTTGACTTCGAACCATCTTTATTCGGATAAGTAAGATCTTACAATTCAAGTTCAAGACGAGAACTTCATTATCCGGCGGCCGCCCCGGACTAACTTTGACCCGACAAACGACAGGACAAGAGCGTGCCCCTTGAGGTCTCACCACAGCTGCTGTATGCCAATGAGTACTAGGTAGTTCGAGTATATCCTCAAACTCCTGATAAGTCTTGATATATGATGGTCGGATCTAGAATTTAATGCTGAATAGTGTACATGCGAATCATTTGAGTTACATACAAATAATTTGGCAAAGTGAAAACCCCCAATATTAATGTGTTTTGATAGTATCACTTGAAAACTATCAAGTGAATATGGTAAGTCAACAATGTGAGTGCAGGCCTTGTTTACCAATGAAAGCAGATTGCTTTTATCAAGTTGCTATCAAGATACACTCACTAATATTTACCATCAATTCTTCCATTTCTTGCTAACTATTCTCGATCTTGTGAACATTCCCTCTCTTTACCACTTGCAATAGCATTCTCTGCCACATCAAATACCATTTCTTCAAGTTAATGCAGCTCGTAGCAGCGATCGCGCTGCCATTCAGTGCTTCGATCTTGCACAGGAGCTTTTCCAGTCAATCAGACAGCGCGATCTTTGATCTTGATCATGGACCACCAGCAAACGCCATCGCAGCATGGTATTATTCCTCCCAGTAAGTCTCGCATCCTTGCAACGCGATATTCCAGATCCCTTGGCGTGCTGAAACATGCATGTTCCAAGTCGGGTTTCCCTTCTTGCTTGTTACCTCCTTCCCTAAGATGCTTTATTCTCCGCATGCGCCTGCTGCCTCTCTTCCCGTACATTCTTCTGTTTTCTTTCCACCTTACCTTTGCAGACTTTTTCAAAGTCTATTTATGTTCCTCTCTAAACTCCCTCAACCATCTTCCTTCTTATTCTTTACATACCGTCAAGTTAAGAACCTTGCCTATGTAGACCGTTCTTGATGCGTGTTGCTACTTTATCTTTCTATTCAAAACTCAAAAGGCGCACTACTGACTTATCAATTTTTTCTTGTAGATCCTCAATACCAGCTTGAACTCGAGGATGTGGAAAGGCCCAGTACTGCAACCGACTCAGCGACACAATCCCTACATGCCTCCCTATCTCATAACCATCAACAGCCTGTTGAGCAAGCATGCTTTTCATAAGTAATACCAGAAAATATGAACCACCCGCAAAGAGATGATGATGCTATTTCATATAATAACCCTCCTGCCAAACGACAAATGCGGGACAGGAATCCAAATATCCCTAGCAATACCACACTGCTAAACCTAAACCTGCCAAGGTCTTTGATACGAAAGCTGGAATTAGAGAAGAGATTGCCAGCGCAACCTTGGCTCAGAGGCAAGCTTTCTTGATAGAGAAGCAGGATTATTTCACACAATTGCTACCACAAAATAACTATATCCAGAAGCTAATCACACAGAATGTCGATCTATCCGAAGAAGAGAAGGCCAAACTACCAGCTTTCGTACCTTATCAGCAGCTAGAAACCCAGCCAAAGGGAATCAAAGCTACTTTAAAGCCTTATCAGCTTTCAGGCTTGAGTTATATGGTCTACTTGTACAGAAATGGCGCCAACGGCATTTTGGGTGACGATATGGGACTAGGAAAGACTCTCCAAACACTTTCCTTGATTCAATACCTCAAAGAGAACTATCCTACCTCTGGAAAAGGCAAATCACAACGCCCATTCCTTATCGTTTGTCCTCTATCAGTCTTGGGAAGCTGAATGACCGAGACAGAGAAATGGACTGACCTGAGCGTCGTTAGATTTCATGGAGGACGTGAGGAACGCAGTAGATTGAAACACATTATTGCGGGAGAGAGTGGTAAGCTAGTAAGCCTGATCCCTCATGCCACTAGAAAGAGAAAGCACCATGCTAGCCAGGACTCGTTGGGAAGAGATCAAATTTCTCTGGACAGTGGTGATGATATTGATGAAGACAATGCTGGCGGAGTAGACTTGGTTATCACAACTTATGAGTAAGTTCTAATTTTACATTATTTTCATTGTGTTCCGATACCATGCTAGGATACTTTATTATGCATTTTAGTATGGCATTCTTGAAGCTTTACTATTTGGCTCGCGGAGAAGATCTTGTGTATTGTTTCAATCACCTTGATACTTTGATTATTTCTATTCCATATATACTCGTGGGGCAAGGTCACTTTGAATCTTTGTATCTAAAAAGTTGATCCTTTTTCGAGCAATTACAGGTTCGTATTTGTTTGACCAAATGACAAACCAAAACGAAATGACTCTATTCAATATATACTTCCTCTCATATTATAGGTTTTAGTGGGAGTGTCTCAATTTGGGCGGCTATTATCACATACAGCGACGCCATCTTACCAGCCTACACGACCCTAATGTGGAGGGTCCCCTCATGCTTTCATTCCACCCATGCCATTATTGAAGAATTGACAACCTATGTGTTGGACCCTTACATAAATGTCTCTTCATTGTCGTACCATCTTCACGATTTAAGCAATCTATTATCCAGAATTTACTCAAGAATTTTTTGCTCTTGTCGGATCAATCATCACTTTCTAGACTTGATGTCACGGCTTGCAAACGTACAATGCTAACACAACATTTTAGATCTTACAAGAGCGACCAGTCTTGGCTCAAAGGGGTATTCGGTTTGGCGCTACGTTGTCTTGGATGAGGGTCAAATTGTGAGTAAAAATCGTTCAATGATCGCGTAAACTTTTGCGCAGACCACTCATCCAGTTTACCCACCTAATCACAGTTATCATTTTTCAATCATTCCTTAACATTTACATTTGTTTCATACCTAATTATATTTCTCGCTGTTTCAATTCTCCTTGAATGGTCAGAGGTTCCAATTAGTGCAGTTAGTTTGGTACCCTTTGAGCATTCTAATGCAACTTTTCAATTGCAAGCTTTTTTGACATTCATAGTCACTTTGCTAATACATCTAGATAAAAAACCATGCAAGCGAGGTATCTAGGTCTTTGCCAGGCCTAAAAGCAGAACACCGTCTGATACTCAGCGGTACTCCTCTTCAGAACGACCTTGGGGAGCTCTGGTCTCTCTTCCACTTCCTCTACCCAGAGGTATTCGTTCAAAAAACAAGAGATCTCTTCGCAAAGGGATTCAATCTCTCAAAAGGAGATTATATCAAAGATGTTTTGGTTGCCTCTCGCCACCCCCTAGAGCTGATTATGCTCAGACGAACCAAGAGTTCCCCAGGAGTCGATTTAGGCCTACCTCCTATGGAGGAGGTCCTTCTTCTTGTCCAACTTAGTCCGTTTCAAAAGATCTGGTATGAGAAATTGATCAAAAAGACGGGCACGGAGATTTTGCACGAGCTATTTGATAACAGTAAGGAGGGATCTACTTCCACAAATCTTGGTCTGGAATCAACCTCTGCTGGTCATAGTGGCGACAAGAAGCGTACTACTCGGCAAAGCTTCATGAACCTTGTTATCCAACTTAAAAAGGTCTGCAATCATCCATATCAGTTCGAAGATGCGGAGCCCGATCCATACGTTCCTGGCCGTCATCTAATCGAATCTTCTGGAAAATTCATTGTTTTGGAAAAGCTTATTACCGAGTTAGTCGTTAGGCAAAAAAGGAAGATCATCATATTTTCTTGCTTCACAAAGATGCTAGATCTTGTCCAAGAGCTTCTGGCCCTCAAAGGAGGAGATGGTTCGGTTTTCAACACCTGCCGAATTGATGGAAGCACCGGCCGAGCACGGCGTAATTTAGCAATCAGAATGTTCATGGACCTTTCAAGCAATCATAAAGTGTTCCTTATCTTTACTAGAGCCGGTGGCTTAGGATTGAATCTTCCCGCAGCTTCTGTAATCATTCTTACTCGACCAAGATTGGAACCCTCAAGTAACAAAACAAGCAATTGCTCGGTCTTATCGTATCGGTCTTAAAAGCCCTCTCACATTCTACCAATTTATTGCTCAAGGTACTGTGGAGGAACAAATGATGCCACGAATTGCTAAAAAGCTCTATTTATCTGCCAAAGTCACGGGATCTATGGAAGATATCTACGCAGAGGCTACACTTTCCAGTAAAGGAAAGGCAAATGGCATCTCCAGCGGTGACAACAGCGAGGTGCCGGAAATGAACACTACACAGCTCATGACTCTTATTCGCCGAGGAGTAGCAGTCATCTCCCGTCCAATTGATGTAAGCAAGATGCTAGAATGGGGTTGGGAAACTACCATTAAGATGTGCAGGGACCAAGCCGCAGATCTACTTGTTCGAAAAGACGTCACCAAGGGCTCAAATGTTGATGAGGATGAAGCTGAGCGAGACTGGCTTGCAGAGCGTGAGCGCGTTCAATCAAGATTGTTCAACGGGGAGACTATTGAGGACCATCGATCCAAATCCACCCCATATTTAAGGGATTTTGCACCATCAGGCAGTAGAGCTGATCGAAGGATCGGCAAGGAAATAACAGTTGCGATAGTTGGATACATGGTTTCTAAGGATAGTATCAACAACGATCAATGGGAAGCCGACAAGACGTTCTCTTCCACCAACGACAAGATTTCTGCTCCTAAACGCGAGAAGAAACCTGACATCAACTCACAAGGATATTGTCAAGTCTGTAAATTCCAGGATGCTTTACCACTTATTCGATGCAAATTTTGTCCAAGGGTCTATCACAACGAATGTCTCACTGACATCTGCCAAGCTAAGGCTCAAAAATTACACTTCGCATGCCCCCAGCATAGTTGTAAAGATTGCAAACAAAAAGCTGGAGATGTTGGCGGAATGCTTTATAGATGTCGATGGTGCGAGAAAGCACAATGTGAGGACTAGGCTGCGCAAAAATAACCCGCGGGTTATCCATTAGGATTATAAAATAATCCGCTAATTTATAATTAGGTATAATTTATGAAGATTGGTATAAAAACTAGTATATAAAATTTGGGAATAGCTTCAAAAATTTAAGCGAATATCATTTGCGAATAATCCGCAAATAACCTGCAGATAATCTGCAAATTATTTACGGATAATCCATCTACTTGCGGATTGACGGACTATCCGCGAATTTATGGATATCCGCAAATAATCCCCAAATTATTTGCGGTTTACCCATTCAGATTCTTCAATTACCCGCCCCGCAAATGGATCATCCGCTGGTTACCCTCCAAAGGCAATAATCCGCCCCGCGGGGGCCCCATTGCGCAGCCTAGTGAGTAATGTATTGATTGGAAGACTTTCAAACCGCTTGGGGATACACTGATTGAGCTTGATCTTCTTGGGTTTGCAAAGGCGCCTAGTGCGTTTTATATTCATTGTCAAGACTGCACTGAGAAGTTTCGAAAGAATGAGGGGTTTAAAACTTTGTGCGCGGGGCTTGAGAAGAATTGGGGTAAGAAGTGGGAGGAATTGAATGCTGTTGGTGAGGGAATGGATGTCAGGACGAAGATGGAGCTAGCAGAAAAGAAAGAAGATGAGGGCGCTGCCAACAAGCCTATCATTATAGAAGACGATGATGATGACGTCCACAAAGGTTTAGAGATGCCATTTATAGCAGTAATGGAACCACGAAGCAATGTGGGCTTCAGAAATCATCGTGTTCATCAAGGAGTTCAAAATGGCATCGCAGATATTCGAAGACAACAGGCTACTCAACCCCCCATCGGCTATGAACCCGCAACACCTAGATTTCAAGAGATCGGAAATCGTGTCGAAGCCAATTCTTTCCCCCGGAGAACCTTCATGAACAGATGGAATGAACCATCCGTTTCACAGTCTTTGCCAGGAAATGTACGACGTCATATGGGTATGAACATGGTCAATGGTAATAATAATGACAACGGCAGAGGTCGCGCTAGTCCAGAAGGATATGATTCTTATGATTTCGGTTACAGTAGTATACTCAATGTCCCAAGACAAATGGTTCAACCTGTTGGCAATTATATGGTTGGTGCGCCGGAAAAGAGAGGGCCGGCAACGGATATGGAAATGGTTGATGCACAATATGGATATGGTAGGAACAACGTACAAGCTACAAACGGACCATACTTCTCATCCAGAGTTAGCAGTAACGGAGGGGTGTATGGAAGACTTATCAATGTCCCGAGACATTCCGGAGATCCAGATCCATACTATGTATCTCCATACAGAATGAACGCAGGAGGCTATGGCAATATGCAGAGTATTCCAAGACAATCTGGACAATTACGACATCATGTATCACCACAAGGAACGAACCCAGAAAGTCATGGTAGTGTGGCAAATATTCCAAGGTACTCCAGACAACCACAAGCTACTATTGCTCCCACTGTGGCTGCGTCTGAATGTCGAAATATCGAAGGGGCTGCTACCGGTCGGTCGGAATAGAAATTTCATGGATGAAAGATTGGATGGTTCATCATTGGGTGGTAAGTGGGTATCTATGTATATAATTGTGTAGAGTAGACTAGTAGAGAAGAAATATCAAGACAGAGCAAGCTATCTTCTAGTTTATATCTGTGTTTTAGATTTGAAATTTTATCTCCTTATACTTTATTATTATTGATTTAAGACTGTAAATATATAAATCGTAAAAGCTATATTATTTAATAATTATAAAGAGTTTTTATTTAAAAGTAAGATATATTTATAATATTATTTATTATTATTATTATTATTATTATTATTATTATTATTATTATTATTATTATTATTTTGAATTGAATGAATAGAGTTGATTTGAATGAGTTGAATAAATAAAGTTGAATTGGATGAGTTAAATGATTTGAATGATTTCAATAGAGTTGAGTTGAAAAAAGCTCCAAGTCAGATTTGCCTGAGGTTGTAAGTCTTATGTCAAGCTTTTTGTTCGATTATTTACCGGGGTATTTACCGGGGTATTTTAGACCAATCAGATTATCAGGATCGTGATTCATTTAAGCGAGTTTCTCATTTTTCATAATCTATACCAGGTAAATTGCGGTACGCTATGCATTCAGCAAGGTTTTGGTGTCGGCAAGCCGACAATTAATATCCAACTGAATGAGAAAACTAATCAAACTCATCGGTAGTTAGTCTATAGCTCTATTACACCAATACTACACATTATCTATCCCAGCCAGCCATCCAACTAACGAGTGATAAAACTATCACCTTCAAGATTCTAAACATCTCGCCTCAACCTCAGACTCCATCACATTTCACAATTCACATCTCAGAACCCCCAATAATCCCTTCACCTTAACCACCTCCCCCTCTTGCCTTCTCAAATATTCCCTCCCAAAAGCCCTCTCATTCCAAATAACCAACTCCAATCTTCTCCCCCTTAGCAACAAACCCCAAAGCTACCTCAACCCGCATCTTGGATGATAATATTCATAATTATACGCCTTCAACAAACCCACCAAATGCAACCCCGCAGCACCCACAACCAGGAGATGGAAAATCTGATGCGAATGACCTATTATATCGAATTTACCCGGGAAATAACATTCTGGGATACGTAACTATTTAGGGTTTTCATTAGTTCTGTTTGTCCCTTTTTCTTCTCTTGATATTCTTTAGCCGAATCTACCCAAGTAGTCTCAACTTAACAAACACCCCCTTTCGTCACGAGTTGGAATGAGGGAAATTAGATTTAGAAGAACAGGGAAACTCACAGCATAAACCATAGCCCCCAAAACAAGTACTCCTCCCTCTCCAAGATACCACGGCATACCTGTCCCTCCCACTACTTCATGCCATCCAAAATAAACAATCCCATTAATAATCGGTGCAAAAGCTGAGCAGGCGGTTCCAATAAACATACACACGCGGAAAGTGCGCCATTGGAGACCTTGAAAACGTGGATGCAGGAGAAGAATCAGGATTGTAGAGGTTAGAGTTATGATCTATGTTCTAGAGTGTAAGAATATGCCGAGTTGAGATTGCCCACTGTCTGGGTATTTAAATAACATGAAAAAGAAATAAAATGGAAAATTGAAGAATAAAAGGAAAAAGAACGTAGAGCACAAACCATAACCCAATATCCCACCTGTAACTTCCACTCGCAATAAAAAGCGACATAAATCCCCGTAACAAAATCCCCCAAAATCGCAACCACAATCCCACAAAAATCTAACCGTAACCATATTCCCGCTACCTCTTGTGAATGATTCATCAACGTGTGATATCCTGTACTAAGACCCATACATACTGTAGTCGTAAGAAAGAAGATGGCAAAGATGAATTTATCAACCAGTGGACTGTGTGGAAAATAGATGGAGAAGATGTAGAAGATGAGTCCGGTGAGGAGGAGACAGGTGAGGAAGGGGAGAGAATGCGTGTGGATGTTTAGGGTTTCGTTGTGTAAGGTGAAGAGGGATTTTAGGGAGCGGGATATGGAGTGGCTGATGGGTCGGTAGGATGTATAGATTGAAGGATTGTCTTGGTGCCAGGATGGTAGATCATTGTAGCTGATTAAACCCGTGTTTGAGGGCTGATTTGAAATTTGTCGATAGAGGGAAAGTTCGGGAGGTTTATCTGATTCTGATTGTGGGAGGTTGGAGATGGTGATTTCTTCGATTTTGGATTTGTCCATCTTGTTTCGAAGATGAATGTGTTTGACATTGGATGATTGAGACAGCGAGGGAAAGAGACATTGATGAATTGAATGTGGATGGGTTGAAAGTGTGTTTGGAAGGTACAATCATGAGATGGTTTTGCGTTTATAAAGGTACCTTTGAATATGATCAGCCACGCATTAGGTGGGTATCCAACCGCTTTTTATGCAGACTGTAACTGAAGATAAGCCGGAGTATAGAATAGCTCTCATTTACTCCGCTTTAATGTGGAAGTCCCCCATCCAAGCCCTCCCAAATCGATGCTTTTTAGGAATATTACAGGTAAACACTAGTTTATCTGAGAACCTCTCATCAAAAGAACAATCATGTCAAAGAACTCAAAGACCGCAAGGAATTCATGATCGAAATCTTCCATCATTCAGAAAGAAGAAAGTGGAAGATAACTAGCCGACTTCCATTCATATATATATGCTTACCAATATTTTGAAGAGATCTGACCGTGGACCCGACATTTCCGGATAAATGATGCATGGAATAATTTTTTATTTTCTTTTTGAATGCAACCCCGCAAACTCGGAAATAAAGCAAAAAGCAGCATTAAGTCCGGCTCACAGTTGATTGAATGTGAATGGATTGTTGAGATAGCATGTTAAGCTATACAATCAATACAGTACTATACATTATTGGCCCTTCACGAATTAACAACTAAACAATCTCTTCCCACCCTTGCCACCGCACCATACTCGAATAGTTTCTTCATCTCCCCCCAATACATGCAATACCGAGTAGATTATAAATAAAACGCAACCGGGTATATGCCAGAAATCAAACCATCTAATGCTACATACAAACGCCAAACATCATCAAAATAGCTAAAGGTATCATTAAACCTTCTCGTTCATCGTTCCATCATTTTGCGTGACTTGAGCATTAGCTTCCTGTCTAGACTTCTCCTCCTCAGCCTGCTTCTCTATTCTTACCATTCTTTCTTCTCTCCATACCGGTCCCCATTTCAATTCAATCCATAACATTGGAGATGTGAAAATGCACACAAGAGCAATGAATGTAAAGCACCATCCTCTTCCCATATGATCAATCATAATAGTAATGATCCCTGTTCCACCTGCACCAAGTAGACATCGTACAAGATTATTTGCAGCTGTCGCAGTAGATGGACTTTGTGGATATAAGTCAACAACAAGTGTGCTAAGAATATTGAAAGAACCGTTAATGCAAAGCCCTAGCAAGAATTGAAGAACGAGAGGTGCAGCCAAGTTTGCATTCTTCTCCAGAACCCAACCATAACAAAGATAGCAAGCAAGTCCCACACCCAAGAGAGGCCAAATTATCTCTAATCTAGCCCTTTCAATGGGAAAATGTCTCAGGTTATCGCCCCTCTTATGGTCGATGCTAAATCCGATGTTTCGGGCAATTTTCTTGTAATTTCGATCCAACATTTTACCGTTGATGATACTAGACAACGCACAACCACATCCAAACGGGAGATAGCATAGACCAATCTGTAAGTCATTGAATCCATACATTTCCTTGAAAAGTTGTGGTATAGAAGCTGTAACGTCATAGAATGCTGTGTATAGTAGAGCATTGTAAAATAACACCATGGCAACGTCCTTCTCCATGATGATGTATACTGTTTTTAAAGGATTTGGCCAACGTAGTTTTCGTTTGCTTGCAAGGTCGGCCTGCGCAGCTCTTCTATTTTCAGCTGTTACTGTCCGAGAAAGCCCATCTGCAGACTTTTGTTCTTTGCGATATTTCCACCATTCAACAACCGTCATATTCCAACCTTGAGGTGGGATAGATCCATTACCAACAACGTTCCGACCAGTTTCAGGAACTGTAAGAGTAAATGGTATGAGGAACACAGCTGCGAGGATTACGAGAAACCAAAAGATTGCGCGCCATCCCAGGAATTGTGCCAAGATTCCACCAATCACAGGTCCTATAGCTGGTCCCATCATGGCGCCAGCTCCAACAAGTCCCATGTAAGATCCCCGTTCGGCACTTGTGGATACATCTGCAATGACTCCAAACCCTAAAGCGATGGCACCGCTACTTCCACAACTTTGTAAACATCGTAGGATGAACAAAGCAGCATAATTGTTCTGTAACGCCAGACCAATATTTGCGCCCAAGTATATAATGAACGAAATGATATATGTAGGACGTCTTCCAGCCATATCTGCCAAATCTCCAAAAACTGTTGGCGCCAGACCCTGAAAGATCATGAAAGATGTGAGAGTCAAATTGATGAGGGTATTAGATACACCGAGGTCGGCGGCGAGTGGATTAAGCGCCGGGAAGTATATGTTGGCCGACGTAGGGGAGATGAAAGCTGCCAATGTGCACATGCCGACAATATATCTCTTCTTCCAGAGACCAAAAGCCGAATATGGTGGGCCGGAAGCAACAGGTGCCAATTCGAGATCGGGTGTATCATCCTGGTCTTCTGCTATTGACGATGAAGAGGATTGAGTGTGGATAGAGACATGTTCTGGTAATCTCTCTCTTTCCTCTACAGTAGGATGTTCTTGGCATTGATCTAATTCATTGGGGACGATGGCACCTTGTAAACTCGCTTCTGCTTCTTGTGACTTTTCTGCATTTTCGAGACGATTCACTTCGGACATGATGAACAGTACGCGAGTGAAAAAGATAATGAGGAAAAATGGAGGGAGAAAATGTGAAGAAAAAAAAATACTTACCGTTGGAAAGCGAACGTTATAGAGATAGAGGGAGCGCTTACGAAAGATTGCATAGTAGATTTAAAGCCGTTTATCTGGTGCAGTAATGGCTTATGAAAGATTGCATAGCAGATCAAAGCACGAATATCTGGTACAGTAATGGCTTAATAAGGAAATGCTTAACAATGAAGTGTTAGTCAACCTCAAATCATGGCATTTTGGTGGTACTTCACGGCACCTAGATCCGATCCGTCCTTTGACGGATGTTGATTCGTCGAAGGATCCCCATGTCGTCGCACCGATTTCGCAGTCCAGGCAATGAGGTTATGCATCGTTATGTGTGATCGGCGAAATCCCATCAAGAGCGGATTCCGCAAATGCAAGTATATATTGCGATATACGGAGGAGGAAGGAGAGACCGTCGCAACTGTTTATAATAGGAGAAGGTTGCGAAAAGGAGTTGAAATAGGACAAGAAAAGGAAAAGGAAAAGGAAAAGGAAAAGGAAAAGCAGAGAGGATGTGAGAAGTTGGAATAAGGTATAAGGTCTTGTAAATTAAAGTGTATGGAGTACAAGATTCATTCTCATCTCTCATCTCTGTGATCCATGGATCAGTCAGCCGAGAGTCAAAATGGTTGGCAGTCATTGGTGGGGCGCAAAAGCTTAAATTTTCTTACACCTTACATAATAATTTCTAGTTTTATTTTCAGCCTTGTCAATTCATCATACCATCGCATTCTGGCCAGCTTTATTGGACCTGCTCAAGGCTTTCAGTTCAAACACACATTACAGGTTTACAACGACTACAAACAATGTTATAGTAGACTGAAGCATTTATCTTTTCAACACATGTTTCTATTATGACAGACATCACACCAGAGTTCAACAAATTGCTGAAAGAGCTTAATGCTCCTCCTACAGCAGATCCCTCTCTGACCCTTCGGAATATTGATGAGTTCTTAAAGGAGGCATATCGAATAGTACGTCATAGCGATCACTCTTCCGCTGATATAACTTACTTATAGACTCTATCAGAACTCACATATAGCTTCATTGAATATCTATCTAAGGGATATCCGACAATCCTATCTTTCAACAGCACCCCCTCCAAGGCGAACAAACATATCTTCCAAAACGAAACAATGGCGACATTTGAACGACCGCCAGCGCGAAGAAATCGATGCCGAAACGAAAAAATTATTACGCGAACTAAATGTTAGTATACGAAGTATGGATGAGGCTGAAGGCATACGATATACCGCCGAGGCACTGATAATTCAAAATAAATATGCACGAACTTTGGGAAGATTTGGAAATTGGGCAGCAGGAGGCGGAGAACAATCAAAATCCATGGAGCAAGAGTTGGAAGAGGCAAAACCAAATGCAATCAAGATGCATCGGGATAGTGTGGTGTGGTATCTACGGCAAAAGCTTTCAGAATGTGGTACACTCCAAGCTTCAATGATGGAGAAGAGAATCATGAGGGAGATGGAGAAGAATAAGAGTAATCTTGCAAAATCTCGAGCAATAATGCCGGATATCGTGGGCTTTGGAGAGTCATCATCGACAAAATATACTTCAAGTGGAAATGCTCACCTGGAGGCACAATCACCATCACAAACCTCCTTCCCTGAACAAGGACTGAGTCCGGAACAAATACAAATGTTTGAACAAGAGAACCATGATATGTTGAAACATTATCAGAGTACCTTGGATCAGGTCAAGTATGTTCATGGTGTTCATCGATGGCTATTGACTTTATGCTAACTATATTGCAGAACAGCAGAAAAGTCCTTGATTGAAATCTCGGAGCTTCAAACGCAACTCTTGAATAGTGTAGCATCACAAGGCGAACAAATCGAAATCCTAGCCGAACAATCTCATCAAACTACGGAAAATGTTGGGGGAGGTAATAAGGAATTGAAAAGAGCAACTCAACGAAAGAGTACAGCAAAGTATGTATTCTATGCATCATGTGGACTTAGTGCTTTTCTGGTCCTATGGGATCTAGTGATATAATATGAATTTAGCTAGTTACAGAAGTGGAAATGGGAAATGGAAGTAGAAGTGGGATATTTTGATATCTGAAACTTATCACGAATCAACCATCCGTTGAGCCGCACCAATCAAATATATATTATTCGCATGTAAAGCTACCTGTTTGGCTGACGATTATCGTGACTTACTTGGCCAGGTACCCGCAAACCACAAAAGGGAATCTGTCACGGGAATGTATTATGGGTCAGCACATGTATTTGAAGTTAAAATCAGTACCGAAAGTATTAGTATTTCGAAGCATTTCTCGACAATCTTTAGATGTTTGGACCATGTACTAGGTAGTATTAGAAAATCCCTCGGATTAGAATTAATGTCGAGGCGAAATCATACCTCGGCCTATGTAAATATTATATACAGAGAAAACAGAGAAAGTATCAATTAGTTCCTCAAGTCCGATGGGCCGCATAGAATGGGAATAGACCTACTCATTTCATTGGTTCACAAATCACCATTGTTTACCATTAGCTAAAACTTTAATACAGAAAAGATCCCATTTTCACACGGTAATCCGATAAAGTCACCCCGGATTTTGCCAAGCGAGACAACGGGCCCCCGCCCGCATGTTTGCGCTGTTTATGTTACTGTAACTCTAGAATGCCAAGATTATATTATGACATTTAAATCATCTTCTTCTCCCCTCACTCACATTTATCACTCTCCTCAATCATCTTCAACATCCTTTTCATTCTCTTCATCCCTTTCATCCCTTTCATCCCTTTCTCCCTCCTCCTAAAAAAGCTTCACATTATTTCAAACAATATGTCGGAATTATCTGCCACAAGTTTTCCGGAGAATGCGGTTCCTAAAGCTCCAGAGGATCCCCTCTTTGGCTTGATGGCTGCATATCGTGCTGATACTTTTGATAAGAAGGTCGATTTGGGTATTGGTGCTTACAGAGATAATAATGCAAAACCTTGGGTTCTGCCAGTTGTTAAGAAGGTATTTAAAGTCTTTGAATATCATTTGATATCTGCTAATACATATGTTTCTAGGCTGATGAGATCCTTCGTAATGACCCCGCTTTAAATCACGAATACCTTCCCATCGCCGGTCTCAACACTTTCACATCCGCTGCAGCGAAACTTATGTTGGGAGCTGATTCCCCAGCTCTCGCCGATAAACGTGCTTGTTCCATTCAAACGATATCCGGTACTGGAGCCGTTCATCTTGGTGCTCTGTTTTTCAAGAAATTCTACCCCAATTCTCCAACCGTTTATTTGAGTAACCCAACATGGGTAAATCATCATCAAATCTTCTCCAATGTTCACCTTCCAGTCGCTACATATCCATACTTCTCAAAATCTACAAAGGGTTTGGATTTCGATGGCATGAAGAGTACCATTCAAAATGCTCCTGATAAGAGTGTTATTCTCTTACACGCTTGTGCACATAACCCCACTGGTGTTGATCCAACAAAAGATCAATGGAAAGAACTTGCTGTCCTCCTGAAACAAAAACAACATTTCCCTTTCTTCGATTGCGCATACCAAGGGTTTGCTTCCGGTGATTTGGCAAATGATGCATGGGCCATTCGTTATTTTATCGAACAAGGCTTTGAACTTTGTATCGCTCAGTCTTTTGCCAAGAATCTTGGTCTATATAGTGAACGTGCCGGATGTTTTCACTTCGTAACCGGAGCAGCTCCAGATGCGGAAAAGACGATCGGTAGAATTGCAAGTCAATTGACCCTTTTACAGAGATCCGAAATCTCAAATCCTCCAGCATATGGTGCTAGAATCGCAAGCACAATCTTAAACGACGAAGCTTTATTCAAAGAGTGGGAAGAAAACTTGAAGGAAATGTCCGGAAGAATCATGACCATGCGCAAAGAACTTCGATCAAAGCTAGAAGAGATGGGTACACCTGGAAAATGGAACCATATTACTGACCAAATCGGCATGTTTTCATTCACAGGGTTAACTGAAAAACAAGTCTTGGAATTGAGAAGTGAGGCTCATGTGTATATGACGAATAATGGAAGAATCAGTATGGCAGGATTGAACACGAATAACATTGATTATTTTGCACAAGCTGTGGACAAGGTTGTTAGGAAGACACAACAGGAGACTGCGAACCTTTAAGGGATTGAATATTAGCGAGCTTGAGGGAAATGAATCTAGAGGTATTATGTTGGGCTGGGTTGGGATGGTGCATTGGGATAGGTAGGATAGTTAGATAAAGCTATGGAATCTGGAGTTCATCTTCCATAACTGGTATTTGACTTTATCTAAAGGGCTAGGTATTACATGGGGGAATAGAGATGAAGCGTGGGTCAAAAAGTCACTTGGGATAGATCTCAGCTCCATTCTTGAATCTTGGAAGTAACAAGTAGAAAATGCTCTTCACCTCGTGTTACTCTGTTTTGTGTTGTGCTTTTGATTTATGTAAAGTGCCATGATGTGCTGTCCTGTGATATAATTTGGATTTGTGATTATAATTTTGATTATAAATGGGATCAATTGGAATGGATTATAAATAAAAGATAGATGGATGTATATATAAACATCAGGAAGATACGAGGATGTGTATTTGTATGAAATAATATATATATATATATATATAAGTTTAATTTACAGTGAAGTTCTTTGAGTTGAGTTGATGGGATGGAACGGGATGGAACGGGATGGAACGGGATGGGATTGATGGGATTGATGGGGGTATTTTGGGCTGAGTAGGAGAGAAAGAGAATGGAGGTAAGTGAGAGACAAGATAGTAATAATATAATATATTTTATATTATTTTGGTTTTGGTTGTATCGAGAGAAAGAGGATGGAGGAAAAGACAGAAGGGGGAAGGAGGAGGAGGAGGAAGGAAGAAGTGGGAGATTAAGAAAGAAATTTGAGAGATAATAAAATGTAATAGAGAGGAAGATGAGGAGGGAGGTGAAGGATGGAGGGAGGAGAGGAAGATTAGTTGTTTTATAATTATATAAGATGAAAAGAAAGAAGAAGATGAAAAAATGAAAAGAAGAGGAGGAAGAGGAAGGAAATAAAAATAAAATATATATCAAAATATATATTATTAAGTTTTATATTATTATTATTATTATTATTATTATTATTATTATTATTATTATTATTATTATTATTATACAAAATTATTAAAATCTGATAAACTTTAATAAAATTCTTTTTAAATAAATATTATTCAAGATATATTTAATAAAAATTAAAAATTAAAATATAAATAATTAATCAAGAGTGTTTTTATATTAAAACTTAATTATTTTATTTATATTATTAAATCTGTATTATTTTTATAATAGAATTTTAATAAAATAATCTAAAAATAAGAATTTCAAATTCTTAAAAAAATTCAAACAAAGAATAACATAATTTTAAAATGTTTCAATTTTTATTAAATATTTTGAATAACTAAAATTATTATAATTTATTAAAACAATTAAGTCTTGATATAAAATAGCCCTTGGTTAATTATTAATATCTAATTATAATATATATTATTATATTTTAAATATATTAATATAATATTAATTTATATTATTTTTATTATTAAAAGAAGAGAAGAGGGGGACGAGAGAAGAGATTTAATAAAAAATTAAATAAGAAAATATAAAAAAAAAGACATTCGATGATATAAAATAGAAATTAAAAACTAAATGATGATGACAATAATAACAATTGTCTCATTGTCAAACTTGGTAATTCTTGTCTTGATAAAATTAGATGAGACTTGATAACCAAGAGAACATGATTTATAATGGGGAGAAGAGAGGGCAGGAGAATGCGAAGCTTAGTTGATCGTTTTGCAATGCAGTATCTGATCTTAAAACATAGATTTTGTTGGAAGGTATACGGTAATATTGAGGAATTCCTTTTAGATAGAAAGGGCCGGCGGGGGAAAATGAAGGTTGTGTTTAAGGAGAAGGAGAAGGAGAAGGAGAAGGAGAAATAGGAAGTGTGAGAAAATGAGGGATTCGGTGAATTGGGGGCAAGGATTGAATTGAATAAGGGGAAATAAATGGCCAAGATTGCTGGTAGCTTGCTTGGAGGAGTGAGCAGTGCGAGTGATATAATCTTGGAAAGAATATCAATATATTGTACAAGAACAACTTTGCTAATATCCAGTTATATAAAGAGTCTCCGGGATTGCTCTTCCAAACTAAAAGCTTCAAGGTCACTTACAACCGTGAAGACTTTGAGGATAGAATTCGCAGTGTATATCATGATAATATCTAAGATTATTTTGTGATTTCTCTTACTTTTGAGTTCTTGTTTCCGTGGCCTTAAGGCTTACATTTTGGGGTGAGGGGTAAAATTGACTTGATGCGGGAGGAGATATAGTGATAGTGAGATGGCATTACAACGAGCAGACAGCAATAGTCTACAATTTTTATTTTTCGTCGATGGGAGAAGACTTCTACCGTATTTCAGTGAGTTTATTCCAAAATAGAGCACAAATCTTTCACTAGGGAGATTTGGGATTAATCGGATAGGTACTTTTTGTAGTGCCATCGCTGCTTTCATATACCTTGATAGGCTTGTCGCTCTATTCTCTTGTTAGAAGAGAACTTCAGACTTGAAGGTTGATTGGTCGATTGGTTGATATCGTAGGTCGGGGTTGTGAATAAGTGGACGAGGGTATGGCAAAGGGGTTACTAAGTTGAGGTGTTAAAGATGTAATGCTACTAGATATGACTTGGACGTCTCACTATGTATATAGAGCTGTAGACGAGTTTATAATCCACAGTTATTATAGAGTTTAATAGATAACTGATGTCATTCCTAGTTCTCCATGGGAGGTTATTTAAATATTGAACCATAGCTTTTTGAAAAGGACAAATTATAAATATGAAATCGGAATACGGAGACACTGGAAGGAGTCTTGTGCGTCTACTTTTGAAGGAAGACGGAGGAAGAATGACGGTTGTTTGATAAAAAAGAAATATTAGAAAAATGGAAAATGATTTATAATTGTAGGATTAAAATGCAAAAGAAAGTTATATTAGATCGATCAGATAACAGTGATCATAATGTCTTTTATTATCGTTTGAAGAAAGGTTATAATTGTCATTGAATAGATTAGGATTCGATGATTATAAACTAGAATATTATATTTGAGATGAAAAACAAAATATAAAAAAGTAAAAGAGCAAAAGAGTATGCAGAGAAAACTTTACAAGATCCTCCCAAAGTTTTGTCTTTAGGTCCGCATGTATGGAACTCCGGCAGATCCCCGTGGTTTTTGACTTGGTGGAATAGACGGGAACAATGGGGTGCTTTTATAGAGGAGATGGATGAAGGTAAGTTGATTGGACATGTAGGCGAATAAGGACTTCGTGGCAAGTACCGGCATGGGAGATGAAGAGAGGGATTAGTTGTTTGATTTGTGAATCATGAAGGGTTGAGTATGAGGTAGTTAATAAATAGTGAAGGGCTTCAGAATGCTACCGCGTAGCCATTGCTTTCTGTTTCCATGATACAGCTATTTAATTCTTCTACATAGCTCATTGGATGGACAAACGACTAATCAAGAAACAATGGTAGCCATGGAGATTAGTTTGTGAATGTCATCATTCGTTTTAGAGTTTGATAATTCTGATTATTTAAAAAGGAGAGATTCTATTGTTGTTTTCGAATTCATGTTTGAAAAAATTAATATTATAGTTTGATGATAATTAATTATTATTAGTTAGTTTTTGTTGTGAATATTAAAGTGACAATATTCTAATCATTTGACACTTCCCAGGCCAATATTGCTCCTCGACTTTAAGACTCACGCAGCCCTACAACAGTACCATACAGATGTTGAGATTCGAATCGAACAAGTCATTAATCTAGTTCAAATGATCCTTGATCTTATCAGATCATTTTACCACAGTTTGTTTAATGGTCTAGAACTACTGGCAGGAAGCTTTTATGAAGAAGGGTTCACGAAATTCAAATTGTGGTGAATTTGTATTTGATGGAAATTGCGTTCCGGTGTGCGCCATAGGCTATGAGGACGATGCTAGTGATTGCAGAGAGAGGATAAATATGAGGTGTGAATAGGGCTTCAGGTGAATTTCAAAAAGAGCTGTTGAGACACCTAAAGATACGGTAGGAGTCTTGTTATTTATATAATCCATAGAAGACTATTTAGTTCTAATGAATGACTTTTAAAAAGAATACTCCAATCTACTCTCAGTAAAGGGGATAGAAAAGTTGAATATGGGTGGTATACAAAGTGGCTTGTTACATGGAAATCGAGCCAAGGCAATATTATAGTCTCTGGGGTTTATTGGGATAGAAGTGTATTAAATTCAGGCCTTTTTTGCCGCCTTTATCCAGTTTATCTTTGCCATTCATTTAGCCGCTGTCAGTATATCACATATACATGTATTATTATCTGTGCGATCCAGATCACTAGCCAGAGGAATTCAAATCCAGCAACGTTTAGCCTAAGTTTTTCCTACTATCTAATATCAAGGTGACTTAGGAAGGACTAATTGATTAAAGCCATGCTTTGCCACCCTGAACTTACTTTCTACCGTTCTATGCTAGAGAGCAGCCCGATGAAGAGTTTATACAGACAAGACATGCCCAGGGAATTCAAGTTGTGACGGGATGAAAGGTCTGACGGATATAATAGGGACGACCAGGTCTTTTTGATCCTAATTCTGAGGTTTATGTATTCTGATAACGAGGATGGATGCTCGTATTGTCGGGCATCAGGGAATTAATAGGCGATGGTGGTAGCGATGTATATAAAAGGGCCAAAATCAATTCCGTTCTTTTCACCTAACATAAAACGTACTACAATCCGAAATACGAGACCTTGATGCGCTTGCAGACCTGACGGCTGATCTAGGTCGTTAAAAGGTAGGGAAGTGTAAGAGCACAAGATATATGTAACGACTTTCTGGATATCCGAAGGAAATGGCAATTGAAACACATCACCATCGGTCCCACAAGTACACTGCCACTGTCATTAAAACACAATATACGCCAATAGCTATGAGCAACAGCATATATGAGTATATATGACCAAATCATATCTCTAAACAGGTTTCAACTTCCAAGAAGTCCACATCCAGAACAAAAATGAAAAGTGTATGCTATAAATTAGCCCAAGGTGCATTGTCGTATCAGTCAAGGCTACTATCACTTATCTTCAAACCATAGATCGTTCTTGATTTATGTAGAAAGAAAGATAGCAAATGAGGATCGCAATTTAAATAGATATCTCCAGAAATAGGAAGCGCTGCTGTATATATGTGGTTTGGAGTTACATGTATCTGAAGTGGATTTCAGAGTATCTAAGCCGGAAATTCAATAGAATATTCATCCAATAGATCAAATATCCCCATCATATCGCATACTAGGTGCCAGGCTTACCATTTATAGATGGGAAATTGTAACATCAATAGGCACAGTGACTTTAAGGCTTCATACCCTATCTCCAAAATGGACTTTGAGATATCTAAAAGCTTATGCTTTCAGAGACTATCTTTAATCTTAATAATTCAAAAATGACTTCTCATCCGAATATGATTATCTCGAAAATTGCAAATACAAATATGCCACCTCAAATTCAATCCTATCTCAATCTACCCTACCGTCCTTTTAACATAATTTTCCCCATTTCCCAATCGACAAGAAATAAACGAAAAACAACAATAACAAAAGCCACAATAACTTTCTCATGAATGAATGATGCACAAAACAAAGACTTAAAATAAAATATAAAAGGATTTATTCATTATGAAGATTGATTGTCGCGGACGAATATGACAAGTATGATTGTTGATACAGATATAGATATTAAGTTTAATATACGATGCCGTTTTAGACCTCTTAACTCCTGAGTGTGCATCATTTCCTCATGCCATACGCCCATCTATTCCCACCGCCGTTCCATGACCTCAACCTAGTCTGTGTCCATCTAGTTTGAAATCAAAGTCGCACGCTTATTATATCATACATATCCACCCGGTATCATGTCAGGTCATATCCATCATACATCCCCGTATTAGCGTCTCTCGTCACCTCAATCTTCCTCATCCTCTTCACTATTCCCTACATGTTCGAAATAACGTGATCTCGTCCCTGTCTCACTAATCCTTTTGGCATTTCTTCTCGGAGTTTTCCTCACCGGCGTGGTAGAAGCCGCCGGTATAATAGCTCTCCTCTCAGCTACCGGTTCACGTTTCTGCGCTACTGATGTCTTGAGTGGTGGCGCAACGTCTTCATCTTCTTCCTCATTATCCATTTCAATATCAGAGAGTGAAGAAGAATCATTATCATCATCATCGTCGTCATCATCCTCGTCTTCCGAGTCTGGGATACGTTTTCGTTTACCAGAAGCTTTTGGTGCAGGAGCGGCGCGTTTTGCGGGAGTTCTTGGTTTAGGTTTTGAGTCCGAAGGCACAGGTTTGGCTTTGGGTAGGACTTTGTTCCTTGAACCAGCCGGCCTTCCTCTAGTGCGGGGAGTTGAAGCAGGTAATATGGCTTGCGGTTTTTTGTTTTTCATTTCTTCTTCTGATTCGTCATTGGAAGTTGGGTTTGTGTCGGTATTCTCGTCTCCAATAAATTGAAATGTTTGAGATATGGCAGATGAAGTTCCATTAGTCTCGTTACTTGGCTCCCGTTCCTCGTCTTCAACAATAAATCCGCCTCCTCCCTCATCCCCATCTGCATCTTCTTGCGATGCAACAACTGGAAAGAAACTAGTCGAATGATGCATATCCGCTTCCTCTTCATCATGTCCTTCGGGGAAAAAACCACCTGCCATTTCTTCATCCTGTTGTTGCATCTCGATCGCTTGCTCTTCCGGATTAAAGTCTCGGCCGACTTCTTTTTCTTTCTTATTCTTGTTATTGAACGGATTGACCAGGTCTACTTCCCGTCCACCATGACTTCCGTATTCATCTGTCATTCTTTCAATAATCCGAAGTCCCATTATCATCTTCCTCCACATACTAATAGCGGCTTTAGTTTTTTTCTCATCTTCCTTCCTAACTCTCTCCGCTTCATCTTTCTCCCATTCTTCCATGACCAGCTCTAGATTCTCCTCAGCCACCACAACACCGGTTATAATTGGTATAGCCATCCTAGCACCAAATTCAAATCCAGTAACAGCTTCCGCATAATCAATTCCTAATCGTGTACAAATCCTCTTTGTGCCTCTCCTCGGAATATGGACCGCACCCACTGGTACCATACTCGGCACATAAACATCCATATTTCCATAGCTATTCTTAGGAATGACACCATTCTCAATAGGTGGGGGAATAATCCAATCAGTTTGATCACGGCTATAAAGACCTTGCAACATTTTCTCTCCACTTTCAAGTTCTGCTTCAGCAAGCTCACGCTTCCGATTTGTTGTTGCTGCTCGATAAGGAACACGTTTTCGTGGTATTGCACCTGGCAAAGGTGCTCGGCCTTCCTTATGCCATGTTTCCAAGCTTTTACAACTGACGACGTCTTTTCGGAGAAAGACCTTTTCTTCTGTAGGGTTATCGCCTTTCGCTTTGACAGTGAACATTTTTACATGTTTTGCTGTATCAAGGATGGCTTCTTCTCGTCTGAGATGTCTTTCCAGTACAAATTCAGCAGACGACTTGTATGATTGAAGAGTTTCCTCTCCTTCCCTCACTTCCTTTTTCTTGGGCTGAACAGCTTTGAGGTCTGTAGCTTCCTCATGGTCATCAATATCCGTCCTCGGACATTTCTTGCTCCCTCGCACATAACCTCTCATTACAGTCTTGAACCAATCATAGTATTCATAGCGCTTGATCTTGCCTCTAGAATTATAGACCGGTACTTTCTCGACAGGTATGCGATTGCCCTTGGTTCGACCAGGCAACATATGACCTTTCAAATATCGTATCGTGACATCTTTGGCCGTACCATCTTGTGAATGACCAACAATGTAAGCAGTGACTTGTTTGGCTTTATCGGCCTTTGCACCACGGGGTTCAAACTTTTGTGGAAGTTCGGAATTAGTTGCTATAATATTGAGAACGAGGGGATCAACAGGTGTATATGTATTTGTGGCCGGAGATAAAACTTCGGTCCAATAATGTGGAAATAGGAGATCTTTGTCATACGGTTTTGAAGGTTGCACTCGAGTTTTCGCTGGCGTGATATCAACCACAGATTCATCATCTTCTTCCTCATTGTTGGACATGGAAAGTTCTTCGGATTCTGAAAGATCAATAGGGGCATCTTTTAGTCCATTTCCGCGTGAACTCCGTCTCGCAGGCTTATTGACAGACTTCGTAGGCTTCTTAGTTATCTGGGCGGCTTTTTCTTTCCCATTTACTTTCTTTGCCGGCTTTGAGGCAGGTTTCGGGACAGGCTTTTCTTCTTCGCTACTCTCAGAATCGGAGGTATCATCAGTCGGAGTAGCTTCTCTTCTTTTCTTATCCTTTCTTTCCGCTGCATCTTCGTTTTTATTCCAACCAAATCCTACGGGTTGGAGACTAGCAACCATTCTTGATTCAATACCGATTCCTCTTAACAAAGCTGTGAAAAATTGAGCGCCAACGTCTCGGCTTCCTTCCATAGATTTGGCACATTTTCTATATTCATGTATATCTACTATTTTCTCTCCGTGGCGTTCAACATCGTGTTCATCTTTTTGAAAACTCTTGTGTTCCTCGTCAAGCCTATGGAGAGACATGTAGCCGACCTTTCGAAGTCCTGGCGCAATGATCCTAAACCTCTGCTTCCAGTAATTCATCAATAATTTTAGAAGACGAAACAAAGGATCCCCACGACTCATATTGACCTCGCCAGCCTCCTGCCTTGCTGCAGGCTCCCCCCAATCCCGTTGGCTCCTAACATCGACCTTCTTCCTATTTATAGCCTTGCCCTTGCCCTTGCTCTTCGACTTTGGAGCCTCATCTGCCTTGATTTGTAGTCCACTATCCTTCCTCCATTTTTCAATCTCCCTCAAGATTGTTTCCGGTAATTGTTTTACTAGAATCTGCTGTAACTCCTTATCGCAAAGCCAGGAATTCCTAATCGCGTTATGCCACATTAACATTTGCACATGAATTTGGTGTGTAGCCACTCGAATTCCCCTCTCAATTTTGCTTGGTCCCTTCTTCGTCCCCAGCGTATTTGTGAGCGATATCCTCGTATCTTTTACCAATGTAAGTTCGAGATCACCAGTAGGTATGTTCGCAGACGGTTTATCTATTATATTTGTATCGACATCCTCAAATTCAACATCTTCGTCCTCATCATCTGTCGCATCATGTTGCTGGTATCTATTCGTATCTGGGACATCCTCAAATTCGTCGTCAGAAAGGGACGATAATGAGCTCTCATCATCATCATCCGTAGCTTGGATTTTCTGTAGAATAGCTTTAGTATCTTCAGGAGTTTTTGCTCCAGCATCGAGGTCATCAAACAATGTAGCTTTTCGCGGAGTGGATTTCAATGATTTGCTTTTTTCCCCTCCAAGATTTTGCTGCCTTGAGGGACCTGGTTCTAATTCTGGCTCTGGGGATGAAGAACGCAGACGTTTGCGCGGAAGGAACGGAGGCATATTGGCTTTTTTAATTGTCAGCAAAACATACTCTTGTGAAGAATTGAAGCTAAATCGAAGTTGTTGATGATTTGATGAATCAACACGAAGTCAGGTGTCGGAATAAATTCGACTTCACTGGAAATGTTTGGTACGGTCTCAATGATGAGGTCATCAACTTTCATTAAGGTTACTTTATTTTTTATTTCAGGTACCGACAAGGGTACGAGAGACTAATCACGATGAAGGGCGAAGGGCGAAGGATGGAGGATTAAAATGAAAATCATTATATATTTATTATATTATATGTATTTATTCTTATTATATATATTTTATTTATATTGACTTGTATTGATGAGAGCACCTTAGGTACCTAGGTAGTATTGTCGTGGAAGTTCTATTATTCATAATCCATTCGTGTCCATCATCATCATCATCATCTTCTTCTTCATATACAAGCATTTACCCTATCTGCCCCTCCATTTCTACTTCTTAAAGTATCTATGCCATGGCTCTTATGTACCAAACTCCGAAGCAATACCCAATCCAACAAATCCATAAGCAAATCTGATCTTTCTATCTATTCTTCACCATCCATCTCCTCGTTATATGTATTGGATGCGCTGCCAGCCTTATCCTCTGAACCAGACGTTTCATGGCCATGCATTTGCCTCCATTCTTTGATCCCTCGGTTTATCTCAGCCTTGTTAACACCATCTTTCACTAAACACATCTTGACTCCCAAGGATTCGACATTTCTATTCCTTGCCTCATCGTCGAAGAATAACATATCTTTGTATGCTATACCCGTGCTCTTCTGTAGTTTGGTAAAATGCGTAATCTTGCTTCCTGGATAGATCTCAAGCTGATCAAAGAATTCAATCGCCTTCCTCTTCTTCCCATCTATATCCATAACGTGTAGCAATCTCAACATCTCTCTCCCTAAATCTGGAGCAGATGTGCGAGATGCCGCTCCAACCATTATGCCATGATTTTTGAGTTGTGTGAGAATCGAGGGTACTTCATTGTAGAAGGCAAAACTCTCTCCCCAACGATCGGTAGTCGCAGAATGTTCTGAGTTTGCTTTTATCGGAGGTGTGACATGTGTATCTACCCAGAAGGGCCACAACGTATAATCAAGGTCGAAAACGATGAGTTTCGGGAGTACAAGGGCATCTGCGAATGTAGATGGCGGGGTATCGAGCGGAGAGATTGTGGAAGTGTTATTGGTTTTCTTAAGCTTCTTGACCATGGTAGCGAATAATAGGACGAGTAAGAATATGGGGAGATTCGTACTGCTCGGAAGGAGAATTGTGTTTGTACAATGTTATGGTGTTAATGAATGTAGTGTTGCGGGAAGTCTGTTAATAGAATGAGTAAAGTAAACCTTAATTAAGAATACAAGAAAGTTAAGTCTTACTTACATAGGCTGTCAGCGGAAGGTTGCACCAACACTGACGAACTAACCTACTGTAATAATAAAGTTTTAGCGACGGAACCTTACCCTTAAAGCCTGCTGTGGGTAGGAAAAGGTTGATCTCGGGGAGGCGTGATTATCATCAACCCCATAGATTTTCAGCTCATTCTTCCACCTTGAGCTTTTGGGAATAGCATCTCGGCATATCCATCTAAATTAATTGCAACTGTCTGCCCAGGCGGTCATGGATACAATATTACCTTGCCCTACATAACATCGGTGGAGAATGAAGGCGAAGAAGAATAAGAAGACGGCGGAGATCCAGAGTGTATCTAATATTCCTCATCAACAATCTATTCTTCATACGAGCTTTCTGTCTCAGCCTTCCCGATCATTCTAAATTGTCTCACAGTTGCCGTCGATCAGACTTCCAGACTTTTCGATACATTATCTTTAACCGGCGAAACTATTTGTTTGATGGTACGATTATCTACCATGTCAGAGGTACATGAACGACCAAAAGTTACAGATTCGCGTCATCATACTGTGCGTGAAGCACGACACGAGGATATCCCGTTATTAGCAGACGTTGAGCGATCAGCAGCTGAATTATTCACATGTTTCAACGTTCCCGTTGGTGATTCCGTCTTAGATCCATCATTATTAACGACCATGTTGAAAGATCATCATCTTTGGGTCGCTGTCAACAGTGAAGACAAACCCGTGGGATTCATTGGAGGCTTCAAAATTGATGGTAATTTCCATGTGGCCGAAGTCTCGGTTGGTAGGGATAGTCAAAAGCAGGGAATCGGGAATACTTTGATGAACAGAATGATGGCAGATATAGGAAAGGAGGGATTTCCGGCAATTACTCTCACCACCAACATGGTTCTTCCATTCAATCGTCCTTGGTATCAAACTTTGGGATATATTGAGCTCAAAGCTAAAGATATTGGCAAGGAATTGGCTCTTTTGATTGAGGAAGAATCACTTCACCTTGACCATACCACTAGGTGTGCTATGAGAAAGGACATCTTCTGAACTTGGAGTAGGACGAATCCTTTCTCTTTCTAGAACGCCACCCGCCGTAGATGACCGAATTATAGACGGACGGTGTGCAGTTGTCTAAAAATATGGTACATTGATGTTCCATATTTCTCGAAGCAATTCTTCATCGAGCCCAAACAAACAACACGGGGAGAACCGCGCCACTTGAATTATCTGTCAGGGATCAGCTGAACTGATCACAACTGTACCATGCTATTAGAGGTCGTATAACTTGATATCTTACAGTCCGAACTCAGGGAGAACTTACAGATTTTCCACGCGGATGTCGGCGTCAGGGAAAAATCATCGACGCAATATCAGGAATAGAAAGAGTGGCGCAAATATTTTCCAATCAGCAGCTTTCCGTTGAGCTGGTCAAATGGTCACACTAAGACAAGTCGCACGAGTTTATCGGATTTTTTCAATACAATTGGTAATTGGATATATCACTTTGAGGGTGTCAATTTTGGTAATTGTATATTTTACCCATACCGGGCTGGTCAAAGTCCTGATTGGTCATGCTCTTATCAATGAGATGATCTGAGATGATCTGAGATGATCTGATATAATCTGATCTCCTCACGTCAAGACCATTCAAAGGCCACACTCTCCCATTGACTGCTCTCATGCAAGTCAAATGTTTGCCCAGATTTACCCCGCCATCAAGCTCACTTTAGAAACCGGGCTATGGTACTAAATCGTCTCTTGACATCTGCAATATTTTCCTTATGGCTATGTCGCTTTTTTAAATTCACCACAGCTAACCTGGCAGGGTCGACATGTTTTGCGGCAAGCTGCATGATCTTGGTGGGTCTTATCCGTCTATTATGGCTAAGTCTACCGAGGCTGATAGGACCAAAATAAGTAACACTTCCCTCAGTAGGACTGATAGTAAATTTGGTTGCTTCGTGTTGTTTGATATTGAAGATGGAGATATGGTTTCTCGAAAACATACCATAAAAACGCAAGGTACCTTCATTCTTATTGTCTATCATATTATCATTATACTCAGACCTATAGCTTAACTGTCTCTTGTTCCCTTGACCTAGTATTAATACCTTGACATACATCGCACCTTCCTGTCTGGATCTCTTGTCATTATTGCTACTGCCTCAAACTCACTCCAATTTCATCATTGGTTAGATTCGATAATTAAGGTTTCTCTAACTCCAGCATATCAGTCACTACTGTTCATCAAAGATGGCTCAAACTATGATTAATGAGAGAAACCCTTCTCCTCGTGATTACTCTCCAAACCCATCAACGTATAACTCGGAAAAGGCAACAATGACGGATAAAGAGGACCATTCACAATTAGCGGATGTTAATGAAACAGGGCATGTTCAAGAAGTGGAACGTAATTTCTCTTTGCTTTCTATATGCTCAGTCGGTCTGGTCACCGGGAATACTTGGGCTGCGTTGGGTGGTAGCATTGCTACAGCAATTTAGTAAGTTACTTGCTATCAAGTAAAGACAAGACTAACATATCAAAAAGTAATGGAGGTCCACCGGGTGTCTTGTATGAGTTCATTGCTGTTTCAATGTTTTATTGGCTTATCGCAGCTTCTTTGGCTGAATTGGCTTCATCAATGCCTAGTAGTGCTGGAGTATATCACTGGGCATCAATCACTCCAGGTCCGAAATATGGCAGAATTTGTGGTTGGTTCGCGGGCTGGTGGAATACATTTGCTTGGATTTGTGGTGCAGGTAAGTCAATCCTATTGGTTTCTTAAAATTATCTAACAATCAGTAGCAACCATGTCATCTATTGCCTCAAACATTGCTGTCGCGATGTATGGTCTTTATCATCCTGGCTATGTACCGGCAAGGTGGCACATTTTTATTGGTTACATTATCGTAACTTGGATCTCCTGCTCTATAGTCTTATTTGCAAATCGAGCTCTTCCAATGATCAACAACATTGGTCTTGCTTTCATTCTTGGTGGTGTTTTGTAAGCTCTCATCTGCTAAACGTTTGCAGCATCTAGCTAACTTTTTGTTTTAGTATCACGGTTGTGGTTTGTGCGGTTATGCCATCTGAAACAGGACGTGCCACTCATTCTTTCGTCTGGACCGACTGGGTTAATGATACTGGCTACTCCAATAATGGATTTGTTTTCCTCGCAGGCATGCTGAATGGTGCTTATGCTATTGGCACACCTGACTGTGTCTCTCATTTGGCAGAGGAAATTCCAAATCCCAAGCGCAACATACCTCTTGCAATCGCTGCTCAAATGACTATTGGTTTCGTCACCGCCTTTATATATACGATAGCCATCTGTAAGTTATCGCTTTTCATGTATCTCTTTCCTATTTCTGCCATTCCGTCGAATAATGTTTTCAAAGAATGCTAATCCTTCATAAGTATATGCAACTACAGATCTAGATGCTGTCTTGGCCGCGCCATTTTTTCCGCTTACTCAAATATATTCACAGGCCACAGGTACTACAGCTGGAACGACTGGTTTACTTTTCGTGATTTTCTTTCCGATTTTCTGTACCCTTATCGGAACATATATCACTGCTGGAAGATGCCTTTGGACTCTAGCCCGTGATGGCGCAGTCCCATATTCTAGCTGGCTACACGTAATAGATTCGCATGAAGATCCACGGGACAAAAGTCCTTTCAACGCAACCATCGCATGTGGTATCTGGAGTACTGTACTTGGTGCTATATATGTTGGTTCGTCAACAGCTTTCAACGCATTCGTTGGATCCTTCGTCGTTCTTCTCTCTCTCTCATACCTGGCCGCGATCCTCCCATTTATCTTCACAGGTCGTTTCGCTCAATCAACTCAAGCATCAGGCGCTTATAACAATAGAATGGTTCCGGGTTGGTTCGTAATGAACAATTTTGTGGGTTACATTGTCAATGTTATCAGCTGTCTCTACATCATCGTGTTTGTGGTTATATATTGTTTCCCTTATGCGGTGCCATTTAATGCTGCAAGCATGAATTATTCCTGCCTTATTGCAGGTGCCCTATCCCTCACAGCGGTTGTTTGGTGGTTAGTCAAAGGCGGCAGTTATAAGGGACCTCAAGCTGGCGTTCATGGTCAGCTGTAAACTGACAATGATCGGCATATGTTGAGTGTTATTTCCATTGGGGATTTTAATGGTTTTCGAAAACCGCTGAAGACTGAGCTCAAACAATGACTGGAGGTTTTGATGTAGTTGTTTCTTGATTTTCTTTTTTGGCGGGCAAAAGCAAAGAATTGTTTTGGAAGTTTCGGTGCTTTTTTCTTCGGAGTTTAGACTTTAACGAATTATTGTTCATTTCACAAGCAACAAGAATCAGCGGCCTAGATTCAGTTTGCAATATCGGATTCTGGACGTTATATTCACCATAGTATATATGGCTTACAAACGATCAACAATTACTTTGCATCGCTAAGATTTAGATGTTGAATTGACAATGGATACTTTCTCCACATTATACATGATTTCCATATTCCGTTTTTCAATTGAACTAAATGTTAATAGTCGGCTATTTGAAAGGCCGAATACTTCTTAGTCGGGGTAATCGAATGTCCCGGAAAGCGAATTGTCCCGCTTCAGCCTTATAATATTGAATATGAGGTTTTGACGTTGGAAAGTGGGAGGGACAATTCGCTTTCCGCGGACATCGATTCCCCCGACTACGAAGTATTCGGCCTTTCAAATAGACGACTATTACATATGTGATACGGTTGGTTTGGTTTTTCCTTGCGGTGTTTGAGATGTAACAAATATATGCGATTCATGAAACGCCTGCCGACACTTCCGCTTGCTGATTACCGATCAACATGCAAACTGTGAAATTATCATCCATCACCGGAAAACCCCACCACAAAGATCACAATCCACCTTCCATATACAGAAAGCCACATCTGCTCTAATAGGTGTTCATTTGATCTCTTCAGGTCAGCTGAGATTTTTCTTTATAAAGCTATCGTTCGCCCACGTCTGGCTTTCAATCTTCTTCCTAAACAAAATATTTCGAAAACTTAGGAATTTTGCATCAATCATAACACCATTTTTAAATTTTTCAATTCAAGGATACCATTACCGAATTCATCATGGAGCGAAATACTATATATTTCATTACAGGGGCTAATACAGGTATATTTTCATTTTGAGAAACAGGAACCCCTATTTTTGTGCAGGCTGATTTTCGCTTATCAATTCCCACCTTTATCGTTCACTTTTGCTCGTGTTTCTAAACAATTTATGGAACTACACACAATGAATACCCAAAGCTAATGAAGTAAAATAGGGATCGGACTCCAGATAACCCGCAATCTTCTCCTCCGCGAAAATACTACAGTTATAGCTACCAAACGCAGTTTATCTACTCCACCACACGACCTTGAAAATCTTCCTGCATCGAAGGGGTCAAAGTTACTTGTTATTCCGCTTGAGTTTATTGCTTCCGGGAGTCAGAAAAGCGGAGTATCTGGAAGTAACGAAGAAACTAAAGAGAATAAGAAAAATTCACTTGAAGATTTAGTTCCAAGATTGGAAAATCGGGGAGTAAACAGAATCGACGTATTAATATTCAACGCTGGAGTTGCGTCGAGTTTCGAAAGTGCAAAGGACTCGAGAATGCAGGAGTTAATGATACATTTTGAAATTAATGCCATGGCGCCAATTCAGACATATCAAACCTTGCGATCGCTTTTCCTTACTCCTTTTCCTTCTGGGGGTGAGGGAGAAGCCGAGGAAAGAGTCAAGGAGAAAAAACTCATCTACTTGTCTAGCAATCTCGGTTCAATCGGAGGAATGGCTACAGCGGTACCTAGTTTGGCTTATGGGATGAGTAAAGCGGCTGCGAATTATTTTGTGAGAAAGTGCCATTTTGAGGAGGGGGAGGGCGTGGTGGCGTTCGCTTTGCATCCCGGGTTTGTTGCTTTTTCTTTTACGTCTGGGGGATGTTTGATGTAGCAGGTGGCGGTCACGTGGAGGAACGGAGGAAGGAGCTGGAAATTAATAAATGCTAACTGGTGTTTTCGTGATAGATGGGTTAAAACAAAGATGGGACAGGCGTTTGCGGATAGCGTCGGTGTGAACGAGCCACCTTTGACTGTGGAAGAGAGTGCGGATGGTGTGATTACACAGGTATGTTTTACTTTTGAAATGCTGGCGGCTTATAATGGCATACTAAAATTTTGTTGCATATTGGCTAATATTATCTTTGTACAGATTGATACAGCGACTAGGGAGACTAAGTCGGGAGGCTTTTTCTCGTACAATGGAGATTCTCTTCTTTGGTAAATGATTGGCTGGCATTTTTGGATGAGGAATTGTCGAGGATGCCCTGTTTTTTGTAAAGTTGATGGATGGACGTTTTTTTTTTTTGGTTTTATATTTCTTACTATTTCTTGTGGAGAACGGGCTATGACTATGCGGAGATATTCAATGTTATCGTGCAGTTCTATATTCATTCGGCAGACCATTCCCATCATTTTTTTATTGCTGATTCGGATATAAGTCTATGTTGTTGATGTTATGTTTCGAAAATTGCCTATCCTGATTCTAATCAAGTGACAGGATAAAATAAGAATTTAATTTTCATCCAATGGCATGCAAGAGCGTCGGTGCATCCTTCAAGAACCTTCTCTGGTCAGATATCGATCGAAATCCACATCGCCTAACGCTATCCAAATCCAGTGTTCTTGATTTCCCGCCCTTCAACGCTGCCTTCCTCTTCCTTTCCTCTTCTATCCTGCTCCTAGTAGTTAGTAGTTGAAGTATCATACTCCTTCCTATTCTTAAAAAGAAAAAAAAAGAAAAAAAAAAGAAAAAGGGGGAAATAGCTTTTTTAAATAATTTAATATTATTTTTTATTTTCTTAAGACCCAAAAATAAATTTTTTGGTGAAATTAAATGATAATAAATACAATAAATTCAAACAAATAATGTACTTAATTATTCAAATGATTATAAATTTTTAATTGACATTCAAAATATACTCAAGTGTTTTTAATGTTTTTAGTATTTTGAATACATTTTTGAATATTCCTTTTCATTCCTAACCTGAAAATTTTTGATCACTCCGTCCTGCTCCTAATAGCGAGTTCCAATAAGCCTATTCCTCCCTACAAGACAGGATAGGAGAGAAGGGGAAATCAATACCACTGCCCAGATCATTTACTCAGCCGTACTTCTCTTCAACTCCAATACACTCGTCTCTTTTTCCATTCTCTCATAAAATATAGCGTGTATGGATCATCACAATAAGTAACCCACCGAGCACCACAGAAATCGCAAAATTAACTGTGTATTATGGCGCATATTTACATTTGAAAACTAGCTAGTCGAGAGCTCCGCTTATTTGGCAATAGAATGTACGAAGCCATATTGAGAAAACAGAACTGGTGGCTCTGGAAGTGGTGAGCACGCCCAGTTCACTTTTACTGATAAAGCAATCTTAGAAGAGAATGGGAGTTCAGAACTGAATGCCGGTTTAATGTAAGCAAGGATTATGCTACGAGCGCTTCAGCGTGTACACAGCTGTAACGATCTGGTCGAGGCAGCGGCTGCCTGAGGTTTGTATGGTTGGTAGTTATGGGTTAAGGCTATTAATCACTGATTATCTATTTGAAAGTGAATTCGTTATTAGATCAAATAGAATATAAATAAACTAATTGATAATTAAATTAAACATAAAGCTTCTAAATTATAAAACTATTCTAATTATATATTAATGAATGAAAAAAAGCTTTGTAAAGCTCAAAAACTTTCAAAAGCTTGAAAAGCTTTTAAAGTTTTTCATTATATAATCAATCTTAAAATTTTTCCTTTTTTGAAATATTTGTTTTAGGAGTTTTCCTTTAGAAATCTTTATTTTAGGATATAATATTCTTTAAAGTGATTATCTTATTATAATTGATTAATTAGAACACTTGTTTTATTCTAATATAATTGTTTAAGATACTTATCTTAAGAATCTTGAGTTTCTATTCGTAGACGATTAAGACCTTTAAAAACAATGATTAAATTATACTCCTTGAGTAATCGGCAACTAAATCACCGATATCAATACTATTATTATAATTTAAACTATGAATCATGATAACAATCTATGTTTAAGAATTTGTATAGAAACTTATTAAGGCTTAATAATAAAGAGGGCTAGTAATAATATAAGTTGTGACAGCTGTATAGTATTGGCTTGATAATAGTCTACTTGAAAGAAGTTAATTTAACATTTTTGTAATTATATCTAAAGATATTATAATAAAGAAATAATAGTAAATAATTGAGATTATTATAATATTAAATCATTTATATTATTTGATATAATTTTTTATATTATAATAATAATAATAATAATAATAATAATAATAATAATAATAATAATAATAATAATAAGAACTCAATAAAATGATTTCAAGATAAATTTTATAACTAAAATTAAGAAAAGTAAAAATAATAATTTTAAATTATTATTATTTTATAATTGATATTTGAGAGGTTTTAATATTTGTTATTAGTAATCTTTATATGAATTTATTTTTATTATTATAAAATAACTTGATTATTAAAAAATTCAATAATATTAGGATCTTTAAATGAAACTGTAGATTTAAACATCGTTTAATGTGAGTGGAGGGATACTGGTGATGTTCATTCAGCGTTCAGTGCTTTGAAAGCCGCGTTTGTTTTGAACAGAAAGTTTTATCGAGGGAGACAGGATCGGCAATTTTAGCCGCTAAAGAACCTCCACTTTCCTCAGGCACTATTCCGTCATCTCAAATTGCGTGCTCTTCAAGTTGCATCTCAACCATCATAAATATTCACGCCTACTATAGATGAAGATACCGTCCCTTTCATGTTATCTTTGCTTGGGTACGCTTTTGAAAGCTCGGATTCTTGTCCTGATTGAGCCATGTCAACCAACTTCTTTGAAATACCCGTCTTGGACCTTAGTCTAGCAAGCGACCCGTCCACGAAACTACAACTTCTGAAAGAGCTTAGAGATGTTCTGTTAAACATTGGTTTTCTATACGTGAAGAATCATGGAGTACCTACGGATGTCGTGGAACACCTAGTGCAAATGCTTCCAGATTTGTTTGGAATTTCAAACGAAGAGAAGATCTCAATAGCACTAGAAAACTCGCCACATTTCCTGGGGTACAGTGGACTGGGAGCTGAAATTACAGCTCAGGTGAGAGATCAGAGAGAGCAATTTGAGTTTGCGACGGAGTTGGAGCCAACATGGGTTGAAGGAGATCCATTTTATAGGAAACTCATCGGACCAAATCAGGTGAATATTAAGTGCGTGGATTTATACAAGTATCTAATATCACGATAGTGGCCTCCATCACTACCCTTGATTCGTCCTGTGATTGAAAAATATATCCAGTCACTATTCGAGCTCTCAACAAGATTCCTTACACTTGTCTCAGAAGCACTAAATATTTCCCCATCATCGCTTCACTCGTTTCTTTCATCCCAACATCGCTTGAAAGTCGTTCATTATAGTCCTATTACCTCATCTGATAACAATCAGGGCGTTGGGCCTCATAAAGATTCATCAGGATGGTGGACATTTCTCCTTCAAGCTTCCCCACCTCATGTTCGTGGCCTCCAAGTCATGAACCGCTCAGGAACATGGATTGACGTCCCAAATATCCCTGGTACGTTTGTTGTAAATATCGGTCAAGCGTTCGAAGTCGCCACTAATGGATTATGTCCGGCTACAACACACCGGGTGCTATCTAGCGAGTACGATAGATATAGCATCCCATTTTTCCAAGGCGTGCGTGGTAATGCTACTAAAAAGGATTTTGAGGCTTTATGGCCGCAATTCGAGGGGCACAGAGCGGAAGAATCCAAAGAGAGCCAAAATGTTGATTCTCCATTCTTAAGCGGAAAGTATAATACCTGGGGAGAATCTCAATTGAGGACGAAAATCAGGAGTCACCCAGAAGGAGGGAAACAGTTCTATGCCGCGTTGTACAAAAAGTACATTGATGAGCAATAGTCGCTGTCGTTCACAAAGCGGAGTTACCAGCCTTCACACACTATGTTCAGTTTATTCGTAAAAGAACGCGTGTAATTTGCTACCCTATCGGCAATCTTTCGTAAGATACTATCACTATGTCTCCGTGTCTGAAACTCTCTCAGGACACTTAATATCGATCATAATCTATTCGAGAGAAAAGTGACCCCACGAGTCTTCCTGCGTCTACAAAGCACTGAAATCTTCCTCCCACTACCTCCTTTCTTCCAGAACAACCGAGTAATCCTCATACCATCGTCTATGCTGCTAATCTTAGGGATTTCTTTGTGATCATAGGTTTTTCTGATCACCACAATTCTCATTTTATAGTCCCACCAGTTGTCGATCGGAGGTCCATTCTTGTTATGGTGCCAGTTTCTTACTCTCTGTGCAATCTGGCTTCGGTTCTTTATCAATTGTCCCTTGTGCCCCATATTGATGTAAACTGCAGGCCAAGGACGGTCCATGATGCGCTGGTCTATGAAAACGTACCGGCCAATATTAAAGACTAATGTTTCTTCATTTACGGCATTGATACCTTCAGGGTCCGTCACAATTTGAAACCCGAGTCTTGCAAGGAATATCGCATCTCCTGGTGAGAAGTCAGGATCCTGCATAACTTTTCTGGCATTCGGAGGAATCCCTGCGGATCAAGTTAGTCATCAATGTCCTCTTGTTGAAGTTGTGTTTAAATTTCATCCATACCTAGAAGTTCCATAAACTTCATAAGCACTGCCAATTGCTCAAAAGATCTTCTTCTATCTCTATCTCCGTTACTTTCGGTCTTTCATTGTCTGCTGGAGAAGCCATAATGAAGATCGTGACTTTTTGTCCTGATTATTGAAGTTCAGAAACAATTTCCATATAAAATTGTAGATAACTTATATCGGTTAAGCTCCTTTGTAAATGGCGTGGTGCCGTATCGACCCCGGTAAGACACGACAAATCGCATGATATTCCCAACGCATTTCTGTTATTCACTTGTCTTCTGTCTTGAAATAAGAATCTGTATAATTCACTTTCTTGGAATATGCTGCTCAGTCTGGTCACACCATCAAGCACTAACCTGCATTTAAAAGTTATGATATTTCCGTATTAGTGTATTCAATAGTATATAGTAGTAATACGGTGTATGATATCGCTAATAAGACGTTCACAGCCGTAAGTAAAAAGTCATTGCAGTAGATTTTAATATTGAATATCACTAGGAATACACTCAAATCCATGTTCGAATCTGGTCCGAAAAGCACATTCCCGACTAGATTGGAACATTCCAGGCCAAGCTTGATTCGAATATTCGTGATCGTATGGTGTTGTAGTAGTGTAATGAATTCATAATGGATTTTCCCTAGAATAACTATACATCATACAAGAACAATTAGAAAAGATAAAAATATACAGTCCTCCCGGAAGATCTATGGAATGTCTGTGGTGGTAGGTGGTGGCTTTGAGGCTCTAGGAATTCGTGATGTCTGTATGTTTTTATGAATACAATCGTTGATATAGTTGTTGTATTTTCCTGCTAAGTTGTCGAGTTAGGTTTTGTACTTTTCTATCATTTCTATGTAATGGCAAGAAGCTTGATCAAAATATCTTCAAATGATATTCTACTCGCAAACTCGAAGTAAGAGCTAATTGGATACTTAAATTAAAATTGATAAAATGCTTCACATAAGCTATCTATGATTCTTTCAAATCTCATCGGTCAAATCAATGCTACGTTTACTAGTCTGGCTCTCTAAACAGTGATGTAATACCACGCATTCGCATCACAAGAGTCCTATTCTTAATACATATATGTAACTCTCTAAAGGTTTCTCATTGCTAATGTACAGGAGTAACTCGCACTTCTGCTAGTTAGGTGATTCGTTCGCTATTCTCAGCGGCAGGGTTGAGTTCTCCGGGTTCTCCGACAACAAATTTTCCACCGTTTCTCTTTCTGAGACAAGCTAATGCATTCTTTTCACCTGCATCTATGAACTTTCCTTTTAAAGACTTTCTCCCTGCCGCTCTTCTCCAATAAAAATTGGCTTTCGACATACCACGGCAGCCACTAATACGAAGAATCTTCTGTAAAGCAAACAGATTTTCATAGCAAGAGTTTGTCTGGTTTTCTCTATAACACTTCTCTTTTGTTGCAATCGAACTGCCAAAGAGCGATCACTAATGGACATTGCTGGTGGAGGACAGTCCATTATTCTGTAAGTCATTTCATCATATCCATTGACCAAGAATAGTAGTGTTCCTTCATCAATTGCGTTGATGCCTTCCGGATCTACAACAGCCTGGAATCCAAATTTCCCAAAAAATATTTGGTCTCCAGGGGTCATAACTGGATCTTGTATGAGCTTTTTTGCGTTTAGTGGAATCCCTAAGCATGTTAGTCTTTAACGTTTGATATGGTTACGGTTATGCTTTGCTTGCCCAACAGTCCTATAAATTTCCAAAGCCCTGACACTGACAGTTGGCCGAAACTCCGCTCTCTTGACATAGGGTGTAGATCATGCAAGGTTCCAAGTGCAAGACAAATCACGTTTGTAGGCTGAACTTTCCCCTCCTTCATTGTCTCTATCAGGGTTGCGAGTTCATTCTCGTCTGCATCATCAATCTTGTACTTGCTGAATTATGCATCCAACTGCGCTTCGTCCCGTCGGATGTATCCTTCATAATACAAATGATAATAAGGCTCTGCTTTTCCCCATTTGTATGAAACACCAAGCTTTCTAAAAAGAGCTTTTATTAATGGTTCATCCTATTAATAATTTGATGGAAAGGGGATATACCTAAAAAATGATGCTTCATCGTAACACTCCTCAACCCCAATCTCGTTCTCCAACGGTGTACGCTCTTATCAATCTCCACAGTTTGTTAGGAATCATCCCATTTCGCAAATATGGCCATTTCACCTTCAAATCCTTGCAGCATTAAATCTCCTTCGTCCCAATGTGTTGAAATAGAGGTCGATGGATTATTTGGTGATGAAGACATTGCTGTGTCCATCTCTGTTTCGCTGCTGTTTAAATTTTCACTTACTTGTGAAGACATGATGAACTTTGTGATTTTCTTACTTTGATTGATGGGGTAGGTTTATATAGACAAGTTGGATTGTACGCTCAATCCATACATGCTAGCGTATTCAGATGGTGACCAGCAACTTGTCCGCTGATCGTGACGACGCATCGAAAAACCTTTGAGCTGCTTCGATTGTGCAGGGTATTGAACCAAAAGTAGAGCAATGGGGAGAAAAAAGTGTAAACAATTCATGTTCAATGAAATCCTTCGCAAGCTGGAACGCTTTGTGGTGTGATGGGGTTATATTAACTTTGCATGCAGGAAATATTCTAGCAAATTGTCTAAGTATGGTTTAGGATGGATAAAATATATTTGTGCAAGGAACTTTTATACACAAGAAGACTTTAAAGTGTCATCCCAAGGCAAAGATGAAGATATTTCTACACTAAAAAATGACTCTTCATGCCTCAGTTTATTGAATTTTATACTGCATTCTTGTGAAATCAATCTCTTCTTGCACGGATTAACAGTAGGCGTGCAAAGTCGACCACAGCGAGAATCCGATTAGATAATAATCATTTGGGAAGATAGTATGGTCAGGGCTTATACATGGTAAAAATAGTACTTCCACAGGTAAGCCTTCTGTGCATCATTTATTGATCTTGGAGAATGTATTATGCTGTAGACACAGCTTTCAAGTAACTGGCTTGCCATATTCTTCTTGTGCATGGAATCATCTATCATACAGAAATAGCTTCCAGGAGCGCTTCAACAAGTATTAGTATGTACGAATATAATTTAGAGAGTGAGTGCTTCCTATTCGATACCACCGTATAGATCAATAGTTACAAAAAAATAGTATAGAATCATGAGCGCTACGAAATGAGAAATGCTAAATATCTCATTCGATTCTTTGTTATCCTTGAGACTTATCTACCTTAACTATGCTTCATTCCAACTTCTAAACCACTTTAAGTGTCAAACTACCTACTTATCAACAATGAAATGCCATCTGAAATTTCAATTCATATCCTCCCATTGTATGCGTCAAATTCACATCCATATTCACATAATTATGCATACGGCATATCTTCAACCAAATTCCTCCATATAAATTATATATCCATCCATTTGTCTGGTGCCACTAAGAATCTTAAGGAAGTCCAAGTTTTGAAATTATACATTCAATCATCTTGACCTCTAGAACAGGGGTGGATGAACTGGCCAAGGCCAAAGGGCGAAACCAGGCAATTTCCGAGAGTCGTCCATTAACTCCATGCATTAATGAAGTTCGATCTAAATGGTTTTTTTGGGTACTTCAATGACATCATGACACGCCAGCCAATGGGTTTTTTGACAAGAGAGGCAATTCAAGGACTCCAGAGTCTAGCCATGAATATTCCAATTGCTGCTTAGAGGTAAGATGTTTTGTGCATTTCAAATATGCGTGTACATAGATTGTGAATACGGCTGTTAACTAGACTGAAAGCTAGAGGAAGAAGGAAAGAATATATGTTCTCTTCGTCTCCTATTTATGCTGAGGATGGGATTGAAGGCACTTGCCCAAAGCTAAATGGTTTCCAGATGCGTATACCTTCAGTATTATGCATCCTACACGCAAACTCAAACATTGCACGGAGAAGACTACCCAGGGGCTAAGTATATTCAATATTGTCGCCGCTAGGTCAAGTCAGTGTGACTTTATGTGGCGATATCGTGTTCAATAAAGCAGTTTAGCGAGCACGAGAGTTTTAGGGGGGTTTTGTTGTTGACTGACGCGGTACTACCAGCATTTGATGATAAACATAACTCTGTCATGTTCGCCTTGGAAAACTTCCAACTGAGGATATATGTATGATGGCGTTAATTTAAGAACGGGAAGAGGTGAGGCTTCTCGGCTGTCCTTTCCGGGACCAACCAAGTCTGTATCTTAATTGCGCATTCCAGTCTAGAACAGATGAAGATCTTGTGTAACTAATTGAGAAATGAGATGATGAAAAGTGCTTCCTCCTTCGCCTCAAGAATCAATTGAAACCTGAGAGATGGACACACATTCTACCATCCCCATTCAAGCACCTGAGATTCCAAGCATTCTGCCCAAACACCCCTCCACACACAATCGCATTATGTAAAGCCACCTCAAAATCAAACAAATAAGCGCATGAACAGAGCCCTAAATAAAGAGGTGGTCAAAATAAGACGAAGCAACCAACCTATAGCCAAAGTCCGCGTTACAGCCTTACGGCCTGTTGGCCCAACACGCTCTGTGGGCATGGGTCGCAAGATGCATCAGCTGTCACATCGCCCGCCACTGACAGAAACAACGATTTGGGAATCCTCTAGGTTTGACATCTGAACATGCCCAATGATCATGAGCTGCGAATTGAAAGAGAAAGAGCCATCCAGACATTCGTTGGCGTCGCAAAACGTACTTAGTAGAACTACAGCGTGCCTGACACGTCAGCTCCCAATGCAGTATCCAGCTCGTCTTGCTTACCGTACATAGCTTTGAGGCTTGAGTACTTACTCGAGGACAGCTCACCAGGGACTTGCCATCGACATTTGCAACCCCTGCTTTAAAGATCTCACCGTCACTTACGGCATAGCCCTCGGTTCGTCTTGATGGTTGCCCCGTTCACCGATTTTTGTTCTGCTCGATCGTAGAGTTTAACCTCTTCCCTTTTCTATGATCACCAGCCACAGACCCATAAAAGCCACAGCCACATGATCGGTTCCTGGCGCCCAATTCCCCAATCAAATCTTCCAGAAAAAAAGATCTGCATTTTGGGATCCCCAGCATCGATGGATGTTTCATTCTATCGACTGCATTTGTTTGACATTGTGTTTGCCACGACAAAACCGCATCCGGTAGTTCGCGGTAGTTGTTTCGTCAATATCACGTGAACACAAGATGATTTGGAAGAACCAGGATAATGTGAAAAAATGGGATCATGAACGACGATGCGAAAAAGTGGAATTTCAGCAGTAGTTGTGTGGCTATGTTGAAAACTAGACCTAAAAGTAATAACGGGATGATTCGATGCAAAAGTGGGTGTATATGTCCCCGCATGGATGGAGAATCTACATCTGGTTTGTTGATTTTAATATTAAAAAGTTGTAACATATTTCGGAGAGAAAGAGAGTCACAATTTCGATCATCACAAGCAAGCACAATCATTGCCATAGAATCGTAATGAAATGACGCTCCGCTGGCTCTCCGAGGGCCACTGCCGTGGAGGCAGACTGGCTTGTTGGGAGTCTCACAGCATAAAATATCATAAAGATGGTAAAGTTTTGTAAATTTGATGAGGCCAGATTTGTGACCCTGGTGAATGTTTAAAATTTATGGGGATGGATGTATGTTAAGGGGGAAGATAGGGATATCGTCATTGGGGAGGCGCATGTATGTTGTGATGAGTTGATTGATTGATGATCGGGATTGCAGATCGTGGATTGTACGTCCGTATAATGTAGATAAGATTATCTGGGTCTGACTTGATTCAATCATGATTGATGATGATGTTGGCGTTGATGTTGATGTTGATGTTGATGTTGATGTAAACTCAGAATGAAAAGATGTGTGCATACGACCTAGTACCTGGTACTGCAGATACCCTAGACTAGTATACTCCGTACATGCATCCAACGACAGTAGTGGAATAGCTTATAAGCGGGTGTCCAATTCATAGAACACCAGGAAGCTTGATGAGAATCAAGATTACTGAAGCTTCTGATGCCACGGCGCCAAGATTGAATGAAGATTTGAGATATTAATGATTTAAGTGGCGGTTGTGATGAATTTTCTTGTTGGCATTCCTTGCTTTTATTTTTGGCTTTTATTTTAGCCTTTAGAATAGGGGTCAATTCATTGCCATTCATTGCTTCAATTTGCTTGGATCTTCGGGAACCAAGACTCTCGATTGTGTTGACAGAGTACAGCATGATCCAGTGCAAGTTAGATCCCAAGTACTCTTCTTATTCTTGTGTGTTGCCGTGAATCGTGAATGCCATTGAAATTTCAAAGTATGGTGTAGAGGGTAGAGTGTAGAGTGAATGATGGATGGATGATGGATGATGGATGATGGATGATGGCTGAATCAAGATATCAAGGCATTTTCTTTCTAATAGATGATTCTTTCAGATACACAGTAACTTCAGTCATAAATAAAATATCGCCATGTATAATGTACATAAAACTCTGCGCAAACTGCAAACTGCAAATGAAAACAACAACTTTCAACCATTATTGCACAACCTTGATCATCTTCTCACATCAAACCTCACTCCTCCATCTTCATATTATCTCTTGTCTGGATACATATGATCGCATCATCCATCCTACGTCTCCTAACATCCCCGGTAGAACAGAATAATCACGAGGACACTCAACGACGATAACAACATTACATTATTTGGTAATTCATAATAAGAATTTCTGATATCTTTTACAGTCCCAGCCAACCGCCAGAGAGTCCAGAGATAGGAAACTAATATCGCACATTTGCCAAGACTTTGGCTTCACTCCAAACAAGCGGGAGTGGTTGGAGTGGTTGGAGTGGTTGGAAGTGGTTGTTTTTTCTCAAAATCATTAAATCATCCATCCGGTCGTCTTTACTTTCTTCTTTTACAAACAACCAGTTAATCATATTTTCCAACACCTCTTGTTTTACATACAAAAATCTCAAAACCACAGCCCTCTATTAGGTCAAACGTCTTTTTCTTAAATCGTCCTAGTAGGACCCTTCATCAGCCACAGTTAGCAGCACTACACTGGGGCAAGTTGTTTCGTTCGCTCATAACTAAAAAGAACCTAGCAACGCGAGTCTCGCTCGTAAAGGGAGAACGAGAGATCAACAGACCAACAGACCAACAGACCAACACACAAATTCAAATATCGCTGAGCCACCTTTGCTTGCGATTCAATTCCAAGGAGGAAGAACAACTCACAAGCGGTTTGTCATTTCGCCTTCTCGTAAAAGCATAAGACTTTATCTATCTATCCTTCGGATTTTGTGAAGGATACGGAGTACAACGGCCCCTTATCACAATATTATAATTTCGATAATAATCTTATAGCGATACAACCAAGAGTACACGGACGACGAATTGGAACATTTGGAACATCTGAACCCTTAATCCCAATCAACGAAATCACTTGTATTCCGGAAGATCGCCTCACTTTGGAAAGGAAAAGAAAGACTTTTGCTCTCTCATTCGATTCTGTTATCCAAATCATCATCCGATTTGGGACTGAAGCGCCGGTGGGTCAGCAGGAATAATTTCAGTTGCATTTACGGACATTCGACTCACAAAGGCCCTCGAGAGCCTGGCAGTGCCTTGTTATCTGCCTACTCATTTTACTCATCTTACCCGTTTGACTACCAATACAACCGCACTTTCGGACAAGATCCACTCAAGAACGACCTGTATCGCGTCAGCAATCCCCCAGACATAGTCAACTTGACATTACATTACAAAAACATGGCTCCAAACGACTACAATCTTTGTTAGTGATTCCTTCTTCTCATAGATATCTTTTGGTCAATGGTCATTATATCAATACCCCTGCCGAGAATTTATTCTTATTTCTTTTGGTTTTAATACCCATTGGTTGATGGGTGATACTTACTACTATGTTCAATTTAGACACTACGAAGCGGGCCGCGCGAAAAGAAGCATGGCATGGTCCAGGAACAGAATGGAACCCTTTTTCGAAAACCACAAGACGCAGTAGTACATTTCCAGCTCAACTTCCCGATGAGGAAGCTTTAAGAGGTTTCGAGGACGCTGGCCTAAGAAATGTAAAAACTGAAGATGGACCACGATCATCAGCTAGTCAAGCACCGTTCTTTACTCAGCAAGGTGGAGGTGCTGTGGAGATGCAGCAATTGGACAAGACACCTACGAATAATGAAGGACGACCTAGTGATCCAAGTACGGAAGGGACAATTGTTGGAAGGCGATCATCGCGACAACCTAGCATGGAAGAGAAGGCTCGACGAAGATTCCTCAGCGGATGGAACAAGAAGGACAGGGAACAGGTAGATGGCGAAGAGAAGAAGAAAGGCGGAATATTCAAGGGAAAGGAATTGAAGCATGAACCTTTCACCGTGAGGAATCAATTACAAAACACCATTTTCAATTCGTGGATCAACATTTTACTCCTAGCTGCACCGGCCGGTATCGCGCTCAACTACGCCAAGGTCAATGGGATTATAATTTTCGTCGTCAACTTCATTGCTATCATCCCATTGGCAGCTATGTTGAGTTTTGCAACCGAGGAAATCTCTCTCCATGTAGGTGAAAGTTTAGGAGGCTTGCTAAATGCTTCCTTCGGGTATGTATCACACATCGCGCTCTATGATTTCAACTAACGTTAATCAGAAATGCTGTCGAAATGATCGTTGCAATCATTGCGCTAGCGAAAGGAGAAGTCCTCATTGTCCAAACCTCCTTGGTTGGCAGTATTTTATCCAATTTATTACTCGTCATGGGAATGTGCTTCTTCTTTGGAGGACTTAGAAGAGAAGAACAATTCTTTAATCAAACAGTTGCTCAAACGGCTGCAAGTTTATTGGCCCTCGCTATAGCCAGTGTTATTGTCCCTACCGCCTTCGATTTATGGAGCACAACAACCGATGCTCCAATTGCGGCTATCTCTCGTGGTACCTCGGTCATTCTTCTTGTGGTATACATCGGCTATCTTTACTTCCAGTTGCATACACACGCTACAATCTTCAATGAAGAGAGTCAAAAGGTACCAATGAAGCCACGCAAGAATGCTTTACCACAAGGTGCAATCGCAAAGAGTTTGGCCAAGGCTGGTGGAATTGGGGCGGGGCCTGGTAGAGCGAACATCACGGAGCGACCACCTAACGACGAACTCATCAACCCAAACGCACATGAAGAGGGAGAGGAGGAGGAAGAAGGAGCACAACTACATATCTTGGTCGCCTGGGCTACACTTGCAGGTTGCACTGCTATCATTGGACTTTGCGCAGAATTTATGGTCGATAGTATTGGCGCAATTACTGCTAATGGTGCAGTTTCGGAAGAATTTGTTGGTCTTATTCTCCTTCCTATCGTTGGAAATGCGGCAGAGCATGCCACTGCAGTAACGGTTGCTTGCAAGGATAAGATGGATCTTGCAATTGGTGTCGCCGTTGGTTCTAGTATGCAAGTCGCGTTGTTCCTTATCCCCTTGCTGGTCGTCATCGGATGGATCATGGGCAACGATGCAATGAACTTGAGTTTCGATGGTTTCCAAGTTGCTGTCCTTTTTGTGGCTATCTTACTGGTCAACTATTTGATTGGTGATGGTAAGAGTCATTGGTTGGAAGGAATGCTTTTACAATGCCTGTACATGTGAGTAATATTTCTCATCTTCATGTTATCTTCTACTGACAGTTCAATAGAATCATCGCAGTATGTGCTTGGTACTACCCAGCAACAGGTGTTGCATAAACTAAACCATACCAAAAACTATTAAGCCAAAGATCCTGCTTCTGGCTCAATGTCGAGCCAATACTGTTGAAGTCCAACTTTTATTGGTATTTTTAGCCCCTCTCAACGCGGCCAATTTCTTCGTTTCATCACGAGGTTATTCTTTTAACAGCCACATCCATCCTCGATATTTACGGCACACACAATTAACATTTAATGTTTATGCCCCCCCTTTCATCATTCTTTTTGTTCATACTTTACATAGCCCGGTACACCAAATACGGCATACCCCAACTGTACAATATGAACGCCACCTCTTTTCACGCATGTACATAACCCACAAAATCACAGGCGTTTTTATGCAAGGGAGTTGTTTGCTACCTTGGTTAGGTGTCATAGGAGTTAGATTCGATACATACTATTCGCATTTGTTCGCATTTTCAGTGGAAGAAGATAGACGGTTGAAGACGAATGTGGCATGAATGCAAAAGATACCAAATAGAGTTTGCGAGGGAAAAATATTTTATAGATTTTTGAATATATTAAATACACAAGAATGATCTTGAGAATATGGGTTCAGTTGAGTAGGAATTCAATCATAAATTAATGAGTGAATGAATGAATAATGTTTAATTCAGTCTTTGTATATTGAAATTGGAGATCAGATCGATGGAAAATCATTTTGCTATTTGTCTAGTGGGATTATAATATCAGAGCTCATTGATTTTGATAAATTAGTAAAGATTTTCTTAGTGATATTAGTTCGGTCCTTCAGGATTGAGATAATAAGGAAGTGTTCCATGTTTTGTATTCTGCGGGTTCTGCTGTTAGGAGTTTCTCTCCGATTGCTGTCAAGCGACCTGTGATAATATCAGTAGTGTTGAATGAACAGCTTTCGTAGATTATCTGATATGTTTAAGGTTAATGGGTCCTTCAGGTTTGCATTGTTAGAGTTTCGTCTTGATTTCATCATGCTTGGGGTATGTTTTGGTGAATTTGAGATCTTGGGGATTAGTGTATGTATTTCTGAGGGGTTGAAAGGTTATCAAGGTCTTTTGATTGAGCTACGCCGTGATGAGGGGTGGAGAATATAGTATTCTAACATCCGGTGAAATAGATATTTAACTTCGGCTTGCATTGAAGTAGTCTGAAAGAGTAGATAGAAGCGTTGATGCAATATATTTTCTGATCTACTGTTTTCCATCATTCGATAGTGGTATCATGGCATCCTTTTGTAGAGCTAAATAGGTATAAGATCATGAGGAAGTGTTCTTGAAAGATATGCTATAGTAGTGAGTTGTGATCCGATCTTGAATCCCTGCTCATCACATCTGTATTTCTCTCTACACAGAATTTCGAGCTCAAACTTTCCCTGTCAAAACTTCTACAAGGCGGCTTAGGAACAAATATCCACTGAATGTGATTTGATTGTAATAGAGATGAAAGACATGATACCACCGCGTTATGTCTCAATCGCTGGTCGTTAATCTAGTCAAAATCAATCCTCCTACTTTTCTTCTGAATACCTACCCGTGGGCTTACCTGGGTTTTAGATCAAGCTGAGAGTCTGAAAGTAAATTATGATATTCTTAGATAGTACTAATAGTATGGACTCTGAAGAGGGGCGGAGTAAGTGGAGAAGTATTGATGAGCAAAATCGTATGTGCTACAGTGGTAAGTGACTTATATCCCAACCTCAATGTTTCTATCTTCTGACTCCTTTTTTTCTTATAACTGCGGGCTCCGAAATATGAAGCCAGTCTTCGATAGAGACCTTGGAAATTCTGAGGTTCCAGCCCATGTCATATCGTGCTATGTCACATCTCAAACTTGAATAAGACGATAACCAGCGAGTGTGGATTTATTCAAAAGAGAGATCAAGACAGACAAAATACCTAAAATTGCAATTAGTTTCTATGTTTGAGCTTAGAATTTTACTTTTTTGTTTGCTCTTCTTTTTCCCAATTTTTCCCTCAAAACAATCATGTCTAGGTCTCAAATGGAGGTCATGTAGGCAGATATCGATCCGGTACATTGTACTTTCTTTATTCCTTAAGCTTGTTAAATTTGTCGCAATGTTGTGCAATTAGCTTCGTACTCAAAGTAGAAGCATTAGCTGCTCATACAATTATTTTGCCGTATTTGAGTTAAAGCGAGGTGTAAATGCATCTAATTGGTCTGATAGGTTCGGTTAGAGCACGGTCTCATCTTGTTCAAGCTAGCCGCACTTCCTTCATCTAATCTTCAAATGGAGTTAATTACAGCATCATTAACTTATCTTTTTCTGTCTAATCTTTTATAGAGGATTATCAACAACCAATCTGATTGGAAGGCGGTGAGGATTGATGTGGATGTGTGACCCTCCTGGAGGTGAGTTTCTGCTACCTCTCTTGTTTAAAGTTCTTGTTTCATTGCCCTATTGCCATTCATTCACGACCCCGGAATCACTTGCTGCTAAATCATTCTACTCTATTGGTTGAAAAATAGGAGGAAATCATATCTCTATTTTCTTAACTACCGTCTCTATTGTCCTTGAGAAAGCACAAGCTGTTGTATTTCTCTGGGTCTAGGCTCGAGAATTGTCTGTAGTTTATTTATTCATACCACCTTCAACTTCAGTTTTTCTTCGACTACCTTTCAACAAGGGATAGTCTTTGCAGTTCCCAAAATCGGCTTTTTTGTTACAATCTATACATTTGCATTCAAAGGCTGTCTATGGTTGTTCTAGTGATATTACCTTTTTATTTCTGTTATCCTTGAATCTTGTTTGAGAATGCTGGCTCTTGTCAATTTCACAAATGGATGTTTCATGTGATCTGTACAATTAATTTTTTGATTGTATCTCTTTCAGTGTTTCAGAAGCTTTTCACACCTAGCTATTCGTCCAGTAGCGAAACTTTTGTTTTTATCTGTGCTTCACAGAGATGTCTCTTCAATGTTTCTTCCAGAGTTTCTCAGGGGACAACATTATTCGTGCATTCAGATCGATTTTTCTCTTGTTCTCCACGATAATTTCTTCGGGGAAAGTCTTCTTCTTTCTTGTACTTGAAGGATTTCACTTCTTCTGGGCTAAACTGTCTCCATTACGTTAAATTACTACAACAATCCTGACATCTGACAATGCCTATTCACTATTCGGACATCTAGTCCCTTTCACCGCCCTTCTATCAATTATTTATAGCTCATCCATCTTTTAAGAGATGACATTTTTCTTCATTACACAGCTACAGCACAAGCTGCGCCATGACCAGAACCTTGGGTCGTTGATCCTGGTGAGTCTATGCCTCAATTACCAAATCTCCACTCCTTCTTATCAAAACTCTCCATAGCACTCACAATGGCCAACCAGATCGAACCAATGTACTTGGGTGACGAGCGCTTTCAACGCTAGCCATCCCCAACTAGAAATGCCAGGTTGAACCTCGAATTCTGTCTTCAAATTTTAAACAGTAGCGAGACAATATCCCCTTCGTCATCACCATGCCATCAGAGCTCTACCTCCACTTCAAGAAAATACAAAAGTTTTGCGACGGGACGCCCGACATAGATCTTGCCGATATGTCTGGAGATAACTTCGTGTATGGTTATTTCCTTTGGCCTGACTTTAGAAGTCTTAAGAACCCGCCAATCTTAGAGAATCAGCTCGATAGCATTGGTTATAATATTGATCTGACTGACTCTGAACTCACTGGTCCAATTTTGGGTCCAGCCTTGGGTGACGAGGATTTTCTTGTTCAGAAATTGGATTTGGAGCACAAAAGAATCGCCGAGGAACCTTTTGAAAATATTCCAATAGGATTATATGAACATAAATTTTTTGATGGTAGGAGGCAGAGTTATGACACTATTATGAGGTATGTTTTTGGTTCTATTATCAAGTTTCACCGTTTGAGACTGACTTGTTCTATCCACGTAGAGCTGGAGAAGGAATGCAAATACCAACATGGACACATAAAGGTTTCGATGTTCCCGTTGATAATGAGGACGTTAGTCTTTCATCCGCTCCTATGGCCCTTCTATCGTCCTTTTCCTAATCCTTACCCAGAACCTTTGGCAATATTTTTACTAATACCTGCTGCGCAGATCGCTTCGCTAGATCATCAGGAAGTTCGCAAAGCTCTTAGAGACTACGACATGGCCTACCACACCAACTATCTAAACTCAGCTTTCCAACCAGAAGCTACATCAGATCCACCGCCGAAACCTAGTGCTATGACAAATTGGTATCGAAAGGGTCCCATAGGGTGTGGCCCAAAACCTCCTCCAAAAGTGCGACAGGATGCCGCGGATAGGATTGCTGAGGATTATAGATTGTTTCTTCAAGAAGTTACTCCAGCCAAAAATAATTGGGAAGTTGAGATGAGTGGAGCGAATACGAGCAATGAATTAGGAACTGATGATACAGAAGATACCCTCGTGAGACGCACTGCAAATGATGCTCCTGGTTCTTCAGAATGTATCACTGGAGCGGGTATAGGAGTTGTCTCTACAAATGCACCGGATGCTGCTGGGAGCAATACACCAGGCCCACTTGGGTACAATTTTGGAGTTGGCGGAAGAAGGGGTAAGGTTAGCCTTGTAGGACCTGCTAGATACAGCTTTGGATCGATCCGGAGAGATACTGTTGGTATGAGAGGAAACGATGGAAGAAATAATTCGAACAGTTCTCGGCGTCTTTGTCCAGAACATGATTATACTTCAAGGTCCACAATGTATCTCAGCGGGGATTCATCCAACATCAACACTCAAGCCATCAGGGGAAGTCCAATCTCAATGTTTTACTCATCAAAACACATTTACCTCTGAAGCTTCGGGCGAATGCATCCTTCAAACACCATCCGTGGCGCTAGATTACAGCATTAAAAACTTGGCGACTCCAAAGTATTTGATCAAAAAGGGTTCAGGAGATAGTGATGATGGGGAGTGGCTGTCAGAAAAGAAGCAAAAGGCTACTAAGAGGAGTACCACTAGGAAGACAGCCATAAATAAGACTACCACTCTTGGGGAAGCCGCTCGGAAGTCCGACACGCCTATGGGTGAGAAGGCAAACGAGTTTACCTCCAGCAGCGCTTCTACATCCAATCTTATCAAACGCGCTGCCACCCTGAAGGCCAAAAATCCGAAAACTGCTGGCCGCAGGAATGCCGTCCCCAAGAATGCCGCCGCCGTGTCAGGCAGCCCTAAATTTGGTACTTTCCATACTTCCAAAGCTAAACCCCCTGCAGCTGCTACAATCTCAAATCCTAACCTCATCCCCAAATATCCCACGCCTCGAAAAAGTGCTTCGAGAGAAAGTGCAGATGGAAGCTGGGAGCCCGACGACGATGATATGCACGGTGCTTAAGTATTTCTTTCGGGACTATGTGGAGTCTTTTGGATCTGGCGTAATTGATTTTCGGCTTTTGAGGATACTCTGCTTTACTTTACGTTGAGGACGTGCAGCACTTATGCGTTCTGGTATGGATAGATTTTCCGGTCCTTACATAGGCATGGAGTTAAATAGAAGGATGATTTATACGGAGGTTATTGCGCGGTCACTCCTCCCACTTACATATCTTTACGCTTTTGATGACAACCCTACTCCGGTATTGAGGAAAGCAGCTACATTAGACGGATGTTTCATTCCTCGGGATTCTATAGAGATTGATGGAGTATATGAACAGGATAGATCGGCAAATCGTTGAAATTCAGAAGTAAGGCATTAAAGTGACCCTTAAAACAAACAATGATGGAGATGTAAGATTTTGTATTTCTGCAGTATTTATTCATGGAGAAATCTATAACTGACTTCCTAAGAGACTCCCAGATATAACAAATGAAATAGTCAATTATTGATTCCATCTTTAGTTCTATCAATTTGTATAAAGCCACCGAGAGCCATATATTCCTATTCCCACTACCATTCAGTGTCGGTCCCCGATATCACTTATATGAATATGACAAAAAGTTCCCTTTTTCCGCACCGCCACAACACCATCCGCTAACAATTTATAACAACCTTTCATCTACCCCATCCATATAACTCCAAAGCAACCTGCGTAGCCATCCCGCCCACCCAATATCGTACACCAACATACTCATACAAGTGACAACCACCACCCACTCAATCTATGCATCGCCTGCTATCTTAATGACCATGCATACATCCCCTACTAGCCCTTCTCGCATGATAGGCTACACTCCTTCCAATTCCACACCCATGAGACCCCGTCCTGGAATGTGAATCAGACATATCTGAATCGTAGCATCGATTGAGATTCCCGTGGTGGTTATCCGAGACGACGGCCGTCGATGCAATGGCTTTCTCCTTCATGAGTGATATTCTGTATACCGACATTAGTATTCAAGCATATGAGATAAGGGATGAGTGCTGGGAAGGCCAACTTACTCATCCTCGGAATAGCCGGGGAGATTTACTGCTGGGCCTTCTTGGAAGTTGAAGGGTGCGCTCTGTGATTGCTATGTTAGAGTTACTGTTCAACGAAGGTGCAAATGATATAGATGCTTACGATAGATAAAGGTTTGGGTGTTTTTGGCTTCATTCGGAAGGTTTCAGCACATTTACTGCTGAGCTTTGAAAAGGTTGCTTTGATTTGCATGCAGGACATGTTGACAAGTGATTGAAGGTGAATTGAGATGAATGTATGTGCTTATACAAGTATATATCTGGTGATATTTTGGAGATAGGATATTGTTATATTGGCAATATGAATGTCCTCGTGATGATATTTTATAGATTGAGAACGGGTATGGAAGGTGGACGCGCTTTTCCGAAACGATGAATATGCAGGATATTGGAAGACGCGTGACGAGGAATGACTGTAATTAACGGCACCAAAAAAGGAAAGAATAACTGGTGATGTAAGAAGAAGAAGAAGAAGAAGAAGAAGGAGAAGAATTGCTGAAGAGCTGTCTGCCAATACCTCGATAATAAGACTGGCGATAATTGAACAAGATATATGAAAAAAAAAATCCCCAAAAAATATTAAAAAGAGAAAGGGTTTCTTTTTTTTGAAAATGATTGCCAGTTTGCTGTCAAGGGCAACGACACTATCAGATGAGAAATTACACAGAGTCAGTACCACAATGATGAGTACGACTTCGGGTGCATTCAAATTCCCATTCTTTGGTACGCCTCAAAGTAACGGCAAGCCGGCGACGTAACGTGGCGGATTCCTTACTCCAGAATTTGAAGGAAATGGGAATTTCCTAGATTGCCCCTTCTTATCAGATGAGGCCTTTCTGGAATCTTGATGACCAACAAGATGGTCAAATGTAGAATGTATCGCTACCAAATCTATCAAAGGGGTTGACGAGCTGAACACGTTTAATGTCAACACGTCTAGATGGTCAAAGTTAGTAATACCTAATACCTAAAATCTAATACCTTAGATACTAATAATAGCAAAATCTATGAAGATTAGTCCCATTTTGAATTACCATCAATAGATATGATGTACAGATTCACATCAAAGAGGCACGGAATGACGCCCAAGAGCATACCGGAATAAGGGAAAAGCGTGGAAATGTGAGGGAGCACGACAGGAAGATAGGAATAAGGGAAGGGTTGATCGATCATGTGATGGAATATTTTCATTTCATTAGATTTCTCCCTTCAATTCTCTGCAGTAAGGCTTAATTCTCACCATTTTTGGTTAAATTTATTTATCCAATCAAATTGATCCCTTGCGTTACCTTGGAAAATGGATCAACATTGACTAAACCTTTACGAAACCTTTACTCGACACAAGAATTCTTCCAAAGATTGTATCACTGACAAAAATGTGCATATTGCTTGCCCAAAGTTGTAATCTGTGTTTCGATGGCGTCGAAGCGCCATGGCCCCTCAATGCCAGATTGACATTCGACATGTGTAGAACTTGAACATCAAAGAACTTTCAGCACCACGGAAAACGACAAGGTATATTCGTCATTCGTCTATATAAATCCTTCCGTCGCTTATTTCTACTCAAATGCTCGCTTTCGACTTGAGCTTATCGATTTGTGGCTCTGATATCTGGTGTGAAAAGGCTCAAAGTCGTTCGAGACTTCAGTATCACAAGCACACAAGTGTAGAAGTAATACTCAAAACCCTCATTTAGGGTAATCCTTCAAGTGGTAGCTCTTCAGCTTGACGAATTGTTCGAAGCCAAATTTACTTAGAGTGACGCCCCTTCCGGAATTTTTCCATCCAGTCCATGCAAGGTCCTATCAATACTTGTGAGCCATGTTCATGTCCATGTACATCTAGGGGCAAAGTGACTTACAGGGCTTGGAAAATCGCATCTGTTCACAAAGACAGTTCCAGCCTCTACATCTTCAGCTAATTCGGCTGCTTTGGCCGTGTCTTTCGTCCATATCGAGGCGGTCAAGCCAAATTCACTGTCGTTCATGAGTTTTATAGCTTCGTCATCACTCTTCACTTTCATCACCGGAATGACGGGACCAAAAGTCTCTTCAGTCATCACAGTCATGCTATGATCAACATTACCAAGCAACGTTGGCTTAACGTAGTTGCCTTCTGGAGGGGCTTTGAAAGTCTCGTTATCGGGAGTGAGATCCTTGGCACCTTTATCTAATGCATCCTTAATGTGAGCCTCGATCGTTTCCTTTGACCTTTTTGAGACGACGGGGCCGACGTGCTGCATAAGCAAGTAGTAAGTATTGAGCCAGCGAAAAGTGTGTGTGAGGTACTTACCGTCTCCTTATTGAAAGGATCACCCAATTTGTAGTTCTTCAAGACATTCTGCAACGCCTCAATGAACTCATCATGGATCTTCTCATCGACGTAGATTCTTTCTAAACTGCAACAACTTTGGCCCGAGTTAAAAACAGCTCCATCGACGATCTCCTCGGCCGCCCAGGCTACATCGACATCTCCTCTTACGTATGCGGGATCCTTGCCACCAAGCTCAAGACCAACATTCACGATTCTGTCTGCTGCAGCCTTAGCTGTAGCCAAACCACCAGCTACAGATCCGGTGAAGCACACTAGAGATACTTTTGGATCTCTAACAATAGATTCGATAATGAGAGGGGAACCGCAGTGGAAGTACTGGATAACATTATCTGGGAGGCCGGCTTCGGAAAATATAGTGGCAATATGTTCAACAATGGTGGGCGTCTGCGGAGATGGCTTTAGGATGACCGAGTTACCTGCAAGGAGAGCAGGTATCAGGGAGTTCACGAGAATAAGATAGGGATACTAAAAATGGTGATGTTAGCTAGAGAACCAACGCCCGGAAGACAATTCTTACGTTCCATGCGAAAAGGATGAGACACGGTCCAACAGGCACCTTACGAATGAATCTCTTGAATCCTTTCTCTGCTTCGCCGTCGGTGTCCTTCAATGCATCTTCACTAATCTTCAAAAGGTATTCTCCTCTCTTCACAGCTGTAGCAACTTCTTTCGCAGTATAGGCAATGGGACGGCCCATCTGCTCTGTTAACTCTTTCGCCAGTTCATCTTGCTTGTCGTTCAAGAGCTTGAGAGCCTTCTTTACAATGTCTTGTCGTTCTTTCAATGAAGTCTTTCGAAACTTCAAGAATGCTTCGGTGGCAGTGATGGGTAACTGCCGTAACTGTTCCGCAGAGATTCCATTCCTGGTCAAGACAGGCTTGTTGGTGATGGGGGAAATGGTAGTAATAGTTTCGACAGACATTATGGTATTTCTTGTATTTTCAATTATTCATGTATAACAGTTAAAGAGCAAAGCAGATCAGAGCAGATCAAATTGAATCAACAACAATGATATTTATTCCACGAGTGTTCTTATGCTGCAGATTTATTTCTAGTGGGGTTGATGGGTGGGATGAAAGAGTCAAGCTATTCATCTATCTATCTTTTTATCTTTTTATCTTTCAGTGACCCCGTTATCGCTATGCGTCAAATCTATCACAGGATGTAACAGGGGCTTTCCAACAATAGCCCGCTAACTGATCCTGGCCAAAATTTATAATTTATCATTTATAATTTATATACTTGAGAAATCACTTCAATCCATCCATCCATCAGTCAATCAACCAATCGATCAAATAAAAAATGGCGACAAGAAAGCACAACGATTTTCTGGATTTGGAGGAGAGTGATGGAAATGAAAGTCAAGGATATAATTCAGAAGCAGAAGAGTTAAAAAAGGGCGGCAGAAGTGTGAAGAGGAGAAAGGTGGAGGATGATCAGAGTGGCGACGAAGATATCGACCAGAACAGCGACAAAGAAGAACAAGACGCTGAGGTCGACGCAATCGAAGGAGCATCTAAAGATATTGAGTCAAAATCGAAACCGAAGAGGATTTCGAAAGAATTGGAATTACCAGGAGTCTCTAGGCCACTCACGAAAAAGAATCTTGTCGCAAGTGCTGCCGCTATCAAAAAATCTGGCGTTGTATATCTCTCCCGAATACCACCTTTCATGAAACCGACAAAATTAAGATCACTTCTTGAACCATATGGTGACATCAATCGCATATTCCTGACGCCTGAAGATCCCGCTTCGCACACAAGACGAGTACGCAATGGAGGAAATAAGAAGCGGTCTTTTGTGGATGGATGGGTAGAATTTGTGAATAAAGCGGATGCGAAGAAGGTATGCGAACTGCTCAATGCGAAAACGATCGGAGGCAAAAAAGGAAATTACTATCACGACGATGTATGGAATCTTTTATACCTGAAGGGTTTCAAGTGGAATAATTTGACGGATCAAATTGCGGCAGAGAATGCGGAAAGAACAAGCAGGATGAGAGCCGAAATCAGCAAGACGACAAAGGAGAACAAGGAGTTTGTACAAAACGTCGAACGCGCCAAGATACAGGAGGGAATGGAGGCCAAGAAAGCCGCGAAGAGAAGAAAGGATGATGATGTCGATGTCGATGTCACGAAAGATGGAAATGCAGATAAAAAGCAGAAGAAAGATGCCGATAGGCCCTTGCGCTTCAAGCAAAATGCTCCAGCATTGAAGAACAAGGCTCAGAACCAGACAGATCAGGTGAAAAGAGTTCTAAGCAAGATCTTCTAGACTAATTAAATACACCGCGAGTGGAGTGTCGCCGCGATTCTATCCCCACGTTGTACTCCTCAATGATGCAAAGAACACTTCCAATGACTCTAATAAATACTTGTTGTGCTCTACTTTCGACCATCCTCCATGCATTTCTTGTGCAGCCGCATCAACAGCTTTGCGAAATGCGTCAAAATTCCTTCGCAATCCCTCCACGTTCATGTTTCTTCCTGAAATGGCGGCATCTTTTTCCAACTTTTCCACTTGTTTTTCGGCCATAGCACGCCATGTCTCGATGGTTTGGATGTTGTCATCCAAACTCTCAATGAGCTTAGCATTGAAGATAGCTCTCGTACCCAGTTTCTCGTACGTTTCTATGTCCAGCCGGAATCCGGAAAGATGCATTTCCACATCTCTCCAGATGATTCGCAAGACGCTGTGAGCAGTAGGCATGCAATACAAAGGGCTTGCCCGGTGTGTAGTCCAGTCGTGAATTGTAGCTGCCACTCTCTTCTCGTGATCTGGCTCGTAACATCGTGGGTCTGCTTTTGCAATGATCCCGGTACGTTGTTGAAGGGCTTGAATTTCTCCATCTGTATGAATTTCGGCCCAGCCTGGGGGTAGTGGACCACGGCTAGGATTTAGTTTTGTTCTTTGGTGTGTGGCGACGTTGTAGTAAAACTTCGTCCCATCGCAGCACTCTCTTTGCTCCCACCACTCAGGATTAGATATTGTTGCGTCGATCATCGAATGTATTGTAACAACGGTTACTTTGTATGTTCTGTTTTGTTCTGTTCTTCTGCTCGTTGTGACGATTGAACTCTTTAATGCTGTTTCTAGGACGACCGTTTCCTGCCTTTTGTATTCTTCAAAAGTCACGACCGAAGGAAATAGCACACTCCGCCCATAGCTTCTAAATGATTCTGTAAAATGATGAAGATACAATCATAGGGTGATAATCCAAGCCTTTTTGGAAAGACGCATGATGAATGGTTACCAGTCACAGTTGATTTATATGCTTGGTTTCACCGCGCGTAATTGATGTATGTCATCTTTTCCTTTTGGAATATGCCATTAATGCCTTTTTTCATCAACATAATGAATCCATAGTCTGTTCATTCTTGTACATGCTATTCAACAATATCTTAATTGATTTGATACATTATCTAAAAATTCAGTGTCATCATAAAGTTCTTAATTAGACATTGGATCATGATTGAAATGATTCATGCCAGACCTCACATTGGGATTCATAGTAACCGCCCAATTAATGAATGTTTGATGCTATAATCTCGATGGGCTCTCTATGTTCCCCCTTTACACCCTCACTCACAGTGGGCCTAAGAACCCCACAGCACATGTTTTCGTTCATCTTGCGACTTTTATAGAGGATATATGGCCACTAGATCCTGTCAGTATTGTCATATATTTGAGTCATTCATAATTATTTAAATTAAAAAACTTTGAACGTTTAAGACATATCTCGCGAGTAGATAACAACCGCATTTTTATGGAGCACTACCCTCCTTACTTAAATCTGTAAATGTTATTTGACAGGGCAGAGGCACCTCTAAATGGAGTAGATGGAGTGTCCGGCATCTACGATATTTGTACTTTGAATGCGGTAATGTGCAATGGACCGGAACAAACAAAGATGTCGCGAGATTCCGGCTCAAATATGGAGAAGTGATCTCGAAGGACTTGGGCGATATTGGAATAGTGCATATGCAGATCTATAGAGCAGCATCAAACCGTATGCCATCTACTCTTTCCCAAATTTGCGCAAATGTCTGTCCTCCTCTACACTCAATAAGCTTCATGGATAGCGTTATTTTGGGATAAACCGCGCTTTTTTGGTATCCTGCAGAGTTTATCCCCAGTCCATTTGGACAGACTAATGCTACCACTTTCAATCTACGGCCCTTCTTTTGCTGCCTGTTTCCTTCTATTTGCCTTATTCGAGTGTTGATACAGTATTTCCTAGTCCATTTAAGAATTGATGATGATAGTTGGTTAATTTGTTATCATCAGTGAAATAGAAAGGTTATGTATCGGAATAGGGTTGAATACGCAGCTCTACCGAAGTACGACTTCATTGTCCCCTGATTACGCTGTGAAGCTCGAGTATGTGTGCAGTCTCGGTGTACTGCTATGTCTGGGTATACTGTGAGGCAAGTGTACCGGTGATGTTACCTTGAACGTTGACCAAGATGCCATTCCGCTGTAAATGTACTTCCGCTGTAAATGTACTGCCTCTCCAGATTCACAAAAAGCGGTTGGTTATAATTTTGAATAAACATATAGATAATCGAGGTTACTTTATTTCTAGCCCCATGGTGGCTGGCTGCATTTGTCTGTATGCTTCGAGTTGTTGAATGAGGTTTTTGCAGCTTTGTGGTTTCTTCAATAATTCATATTAAGTATAGATAGAAATCACATTTGTTTCTCATAGCCTTCCAAATTCTTGGTTTTTAGCTCAAATAATGACCTGTTCAAGATTTGGAAGATAAATTTATTTAAATCCTAAGGCAATATCTTGAGGTTTTGAGGACAATATGTAATTGTTTTGAACCAAACAGTTCGAGCGAAGCCGAATTTTCACGGCACAGATGCAAATAAAATGAATGAGAAAATAATCTCGGGTATCAAGCATATCTATTTCAATGATTAAGTTCGAAGAGCCGTCCAATTCGCATCCAAAAACAATGTCAAACATGTCTTAGCCATCAATTCCATCTTCCACTTATTCAAATGCTCAGACAATAGGCAAGCTTATACTGATAAGACTGCAATATAATGATCCAACGGATAATATATGTGTACACAGAGCAATCCCTCAATCACGATTCCTTGTGGAAAAATGAATGAGAGGCTGAACTAAGTAGCTCCCTGAATGTGATGCAGCCATTATCACTGCATTCGAACAAGTTAAAATATCCCAGAATTTAAGGGCGATACCTGGACTACAATTAAGACTTTGCATGAATATGGAAGGCGCAACTCCAAGCTTCAGTGGATTGCAGTAAGTCCTTATCATCCATCGCTTTTATTGACTGTCACCCCTGAGTTGACCAGTTGATCGGATGCTACATTCCTTATCATTCGATGCCATGTAATCAGCGAGGAAACACCTGACATCATTGATGAATTACTCAAGCGAAAAGAAACATCTCTCACGTCATCCGGATGTGTGGTGCCTTTGGCACCGTGCCAATGGAACATAGTCACGGCCTCTCAGCTAACCCCATCATGATATTCCCTCACCTCCGTGGTCTTGTTGAGCTTTTTGATTTGCTTGTTCGGTCGTCTTGAGCCTATCTAGCTTCGCAGCCTCCTTGACCTCCTTGGCCTGTTTTGTTTCTATTGTCTCTCTTGTCATCCTCAGCTTCATCGAATGCCTGCCACCCCTGCACGCCCCGGCTTCCTTCATGATTTAATTGAGGCCTTTTGCATCCTTATCCTATTTGTCCTCCTTGGTAATCTGTGTCGCCATTATCATACCCGTTCTGTTACCATCACTTGTCTGACATCCGGGTTCATTATACTTTATTGATGGCTCACCATATCCTTGGGATTCAATTGTAGAGTCCTGTGCAGCATTACGATATCCTTTCTGAGCCCTCGAAATAAGCCATCCACATGTTTCCGCCAATTTTCGTCTGTTGCCTGCCCTTCGGGACTTGACGTGACTATCTACATTCCTTTTCTCTGAGATAACCTCACTTCTCAGAGCTTTCACAGTCCCTTCAAGACTCGCGGTTTGTATTTCTTTGCCGGTGCTCGAGTGTTCTCCCGGGGTAAATTTTTGAGGATTCTATGGCTCGGTAAGCGAATTTTGGACTGAAAATTAGTTTAATTGGTTCCTCTATGTGTCATTGTGAAGTCCTGGTTACGGTGTTAAATTAATGTACTCACATGTTACCTTCACACATTATATAGCTCAAGATCCACAGAGTTTGCGTGTCTGTCAACAGCGCATAGCACTGACTATCATTAAAGTGACTATTAAAATAAGTTTTACAGCACTATAATTGTTTACCAATCGTGGAGACCAAACAACACGTATAGCTGTCGCCGGAAACAAAAAGCCTCGGGTGTATGTGACTAAAAATGGCGATTTGGGAATGTTTGAAGTAATGTCAACTTACAAACCTTTGAGAATCCAGCATCTACGATGTGATTGGCGCAAGTTAGAGTGTGTCTCCTTTTATTGTCTTGCAGTGTCGGAATTTGCACATACTGTAAATACACAATTTGACAACTGTAATATCGGTAAATAATTATGACATATTGCATGTAGGCATCATTTGATAAATTAATCAGCGGTTTTATTGCTGGTCTCATGCGGTGTCTTGCCATTATCTTTTCAGCAGGAAGAGGCCGCCGTCCAGTATGCCTTCCCTATCAGAATCGTATATTTTAGACAAACGGCCAACTATTGCATCTTTACGGACCTTTCTCATCAAGTCTTCACATTAATATGATTGTCCCAACACTCTTCGAGAGCGACTTTCTTCACTCTTTCTCGCTTCTTCTCATATCACTTCTCCAGCACCATAACTTCTCGAGGGTTTCCATCTGCGAAAAGTCCCCGTGCTTGTCGGTAGTCCCTTACGATGAACATTCCACAGTCTTCAGCCTCCTTTCTATCTTTTCTTCGTTCTCTAGCCTTTTCGATTTCTTCAGAATCGATGTGAACTACTACCATAACGTCTCTATTTCAGATTACAGTACTAACGCACTGCTACTAGCTATAGCTGAATGCCCTTTTCACACCAAAACTCAACCATTTTATAAGATTATAATAATTTGATTATTATAAAAGTATAATCAAAATTGAAAAATGAATTATTTCGAATTGAATATATGATAAAAATCAATAAACTATTTTTTTGGAATTTTTCAAATAATATAATTAAGTTTGAAAATGATCATATGAAATTTTGATTTAAATTTTAAGGAGCCGACCTTATTTACATCTTACTATATGAGCTCTTCGCAAATATCCTATCCGCTCTTTCCTTAGTCTATCAATAAATAACAAATTTCCCAATTCTTTCACTACTGCCTTATTTTTGGCTAATTTATTAGTTAGTTTACCTATCTTAAATTTCTACTCTGTTATATATTTCCCTATATTTTTATCACAAACTTCGATCCCTCTTACTGACTCCTACTCAGTATAAGTCCTAAGCTCATTAAGAGAGAGATCTGGAATTTGCTGCTGGTGAACTGGAGTAAACGTTGAGCTTCCTGAGATTTGTCATTGGGAAGGGCTTCAACGGAAGTAACGAAGTAGGGTAACGGAATTCAGAAAAACAATCGCTTGGAACAAGGAGTAGTCTGATATATATCGACTCATACCTCTAGTACTTGAGCATCCATCTTACACACCCCACTATTGCTGTAATACTAAGATATTTATCTTAGTACCATGACTGGCATTGCTGTGTAATTGTTCACCCAAAAACTCTCACACAAAACGAGCGCCGAGACATATCTAGGCTGCAACTACGATCTTCTTTTCCTAAAGAACCTAATATTTCCCACTGAGCCCCATGGGAAATTTCTCTCCTAGACATCTTTTTTTCACTGCAAAAATTACCGCCAAACCCTGATTAATTCATCCAGCTTTGAACAACCCAGCAACACTTCTCCGTTTATCATCAGATCCTCCAACTATTTTGCTAGTTTTTCTTCTTTACCCTTCTCGTTAGGTAGTTTAATTGCTAACGGCTCGTAATTTTATCAGCTCTGTATTGCATTTTCCATAACTCCACGATGAGACTGGAATTTGAGAGGCGTATTATTAATACTGTATGTACTCGATTTGGAGCTATGGAATATGACTTTAAATGCTGGAGGAATCAATTTAGAAGTATAGAATAATTTGCAGTGCGTTTCTCTAGGAAATAAACTACACAAAAGCAATTATCGAATTAGATGTAAATGTTGAGAGTATAAATGCTGATAATTTTCAACTTGAAATGTTGGTTTTTGCAAGGCAATTTACGCCTCTTCGTATTGAGGAGTTCTCGAGAATACTAACCGACTTAGAACTAGAGATCATACTCATAATTATTTGTGCCAGAATAGCTCATTAATTACTCTGAGTTAGTTGAATTAGGCAAGTGAACCAATCTTAAAGGCACATTTCAACCGATGGTAGCCATGCTTATAGATGTGCGATTCACTACTAATATACTATTTATTGCTATTCGATATACGTTATATAACAAATGCCTTCAAAATATTCATATATAGTAATCACGATTTGATGGTTAAGTCACATCAAGCTGATCACATGTTGTTGAGTTATGTTATTCATAATTACACAATATAAAATGATGACTCTACCTTCACCCCATTCGCCATCCCTTTATAAATCCCGTCTAAGAATAATTGTTCCAATATACATAATGTCCCATCTTTTAAGCTTATTGTCCACGTACATCAACAATACGATGCCTCACACACAATCCACCAGTCCACCAATTACCCACGAAAGCTCTTGTGCTCCCAGACATTATCGTCGGCATGTCCTCTTCAACCTACCAAGAATCTGCATCGATCAAGAAGACATGGAATCGCCCGCCCCCTTCACCACAACTCCATCAGAACTAGCACGCTGTCTCCGAAGCGAACGAGCTGACTTGGCGCAAGCTAGACGAGAGAATGAGTGAAAAGCATCTCGATCTCGCGAAAAAATTCGTGGCTATGATTAAGGAATTAGATAGAGAAAGTCATGGGAGGAATAATGTTTGAGCTGGAGGAGAATAAGTGTAGTCGTAATGCAGTGGCGAAGACTTGATTTTTTCTAGGTCGCGTTTTAAGTAAGATGGAATGCATTGTTCTATCTTCCATAATACACATATTTATTCATCTGGGGTCGATTTAGTAACTAAAAATCGAGAAAGACGATCATGATGTTATGCTACATCATGATCGATGTTTGAGTTTGGATATACGTGAACACGTTGGTATTTGATGAAATGAAACCCAACTTCAGGAGTGGCGAGTGAGTCAGGAAGTAGTACACCAAGCAAATCACCAGCTACCATAGTCACTAGCAAATAATTTACAAAGTTCAACGGGTAATGCATTTTGGACTGGTGAAGCTGTTAATTCCTGATACTGAATTGTTATTTCTAAAGGGTTATATCTCATTTTAACTCTTAACTCGTCTCATCACATTGATATTAAGCCCTCCTTGTACCAGCACCCTAGCTATCAGCCTTCAAGTACGCTCTTTCCCACTCATTTTCCGGCTCAAGAAAAAAGAAAAAGAGATGCAAATCAAGAAACCCTATCCATCCAACCACCCAATGCATAAAATTGACGCCATAACACTCGAGATTAATTTCAGTATTCCCTCCACACCTCATCGCGCACATGCACGCAGATGCTAAATATCTTCTTCACCGCGTTCCCCTCTGCCTCCATCGAGCTCAAGCCTCCGCCTGGAACCCTCGGCCTCAACCCCACCCAAGCTTTAATCATTCCCGCTCTACATAGCAGCTAACTCACTGTCGATATTCCTATCCAAGAAAGTCCTTCTCTCGCCGACCAATTCTGTCTGCAATCGCTGCTCTACCAAAGCCCTGACCTGTTTCTTTGTGACATTATCCAGATCCACTTCTCTCAAACAGCTCTGTATTGCCTCTATAATTTGCATATCATCAGGTCCAGAGGTACCCCTCTGGAAATCAAATGCACTAGCTGGTCTGTCCATCGCAGCTCCCGCTAACGGCGAACGAGCACCACCTGCAAAGCCTAGTGACGAACGTGATTGATGACGTCCTTGACCACCGCCAAGGAGATTGTCGGAAGACATCATTTGCATCGAGGGACGACCGTTAGCGGCGTAGTCTTGGTAAGGAGAGGCGGAACGATCTTGTTGGCGAAGGGACATAGCAGACTGGTTGCGAAGCGTGTGGTCGGCATACTGGTTTGCAGAGTAGGTGGATTGAGGAGGCATGTATGGGCCACGACCAGGGAAACCGGTTAGGATAGTGGACGCAGGTTTGACGGACGAGTACATGGACTTCATATCATCCATTTCGTATTGATCTTCGTATGTATCGTAAGCCTTTTCAATTGGCACTCCACGACGTCCTGGGAGGTTGTTGTGTAAAGCATAGTCGTCCCATCGTTGGAGAGGAACGCTTCTTGGGTCAAACCCACCATCATCCACGGCCACGACCTTTGCAAAGCCCTTCTCTCCAAGGACAATACGTGTATTACCCCATGAGAAGTTGTCTTGGTTCCAGAAAGAGTAGATTGGTAGAACAAAAGAGTAAATGGGGAAAGCAAGGATATAGATAATCATCCATCCGACATGTTGCCATTGACGTTTGAGAATAAATATCAAAGCTTGCAGACCATATGTACCAGCGATCATACAAATTGAAATAAGGGGAAATTGACCTTGATGTGTTGCGACTTTGTAGATCAGGTATACAAGGTAGACGGTCGTTGCAGGAAGAATAATTGTTCCAAAGAGATCCATGAAAACAACAAATCTCATACTGAAAAAACAGAACCCGCACATTTCAGGAAGCCAGACCAACTCAGCTAGATTGTGAATGGTAGAATTGATCCAACGTCTTCTCTGGGAAAGAAGGATACTCCAGGTTTCGGGTGCAGAGGTGCTAGCATATGCATCAGGAATGAACTTGTACTTCATAAATGGGAAGTGCTTGGTCATCAATGTAGTCAAAAATCGATCCTCTCCGAGGGACAAGAGATTCTTCTTGTGTAGAGTGTCAACAACACACTCGCTGTACTCGTCTATGATAGCGTCGGCGATAATTAATGGTTTCCCCTTGTCAGCGGTACGTATACGATACATAGTAAAACTATGAAGCAGTTATTAGTATATTGTACCGAGGTAGGGGTTTGGAGTAGAAGGATCACTTACCAACCAGGCAGACAGGTGACACTGCCAAATAGAGACTCGAATGCTTTTGCCAAATGATGCGAGATGAAATATTCGTAAACTTGAATCATAGTCCACCAAGATTGTTCTTCATTTTCGAGGTTGGTTTCGCCACAGATACCAGCAATTTTGCCATCGTTGGTACAGGCTGCTACAAGACGGTTCAAAGAATCTTCCTTGACACTGGTATCGGCATCAATCATGAATAGATATTCGTAAAGCTCTGGATCCACGCCAATGATGTTGTTGATTTGGTGAAACATCTCTAATTCCAGTGGGTTCATGGGTGCTCTATGATGGACGCGGTTGAGGAAGCTCATGAGGAGAATTTGGGAGTCTCGTTTTCCACGATTACCGGGCTTCGATTTGGATTGCTCGGATTCCTTGCCAACCTTGACGACTACGATGTACGGGACTACATTTCCTTCGAACTCATACAAACCAGAGTAGATTTTACCATAGTTGAGTTGATCGTTACCTTCTCCAACAGACTTGAACGGTAGCGCAGGAGGGTCAATCTTGGGATCTACACCGAGAATATCGAGGACAATCTTTGGTGTTGGACGGTCGTTGCCACCTCCTACAACCATACCATCACAAATGACACAAAGGAGCTTTCTTTTATTGTCGTATTGCAGAGCTGTCAAAGAGTCCAAAGCTTTGCGCAATGAATCTTCACCTTCGGTATATGCCGGAACCTGGCAAATCACAAACTTGTCTTGAGGAGTTGGGCGACTCTTCGAACCAAATTGAAGTGCCGATACGAACTTGATGATAATGACAGCACATACTACGATTGTAAAGGCGAGAAGGATGTAGTTGTTGATTTGACATTTGACAGAATCTCGGAAGTCGGGAATACCTGCATAGAACAAATTGTTCATGCAATTCAGGTTGTTAAGGATATCCACTTGGTAACTAGCGTTGGCGCTTTTGTAGTTATCATCCCATTTACTTGTGATATCTAAACCTGGATTTGTGATTATCATTTGATAAATGGTATCGTCAATAAACTCGTAGGTAGCCACACTAGGATACAATGATAATGTGTAGTAATAATCGGTGAAATCGTATATCTTGCCCTTCAAGGTAACCCAATAATGCCCCTGGTTTTGGCCTTGATTCTCAATCGTGCTCTTCTTAACTACCAGATCTCCATGGTAATACTCTTTGATCCCAGGTGTGTATACGTCCGCATACCAATTCCAGTCGTAAAGTTTGCTGGTCACATATGCGGAGCTATTTCCGGAGGTATGAATTCCAGCAGGATATTCGGCAGTATTGTTGACCTGTAGTACTAAAGTATAATCCGTTACAAGACCAGGGCAGGCAACAATCAATGGTGGGGGGAAATAGCTGTCCAAGTTCATACCAGCAAAGGGTTGCATAACGCTGGAGGTGGTTGTGACAGTGGTATCACTGTGCTGCAACTTCCAGAATTTAGAGATATCGTATACTTTTCCATGAATGCTGACCCAAAAGTCATTGTCACCTTGGTGGGTGGAGACTTGGTTCGCATTCCATGCTTTGTCCGAATTTGGGCAGAGGAGTTTACCGAATTCGATAATCCAAAATATAACCAAGGCATTGAGGAAGAGGATCATGAAACACAAGACCAGCTTTTCTCTCCAAGCCATGCGTACATCTGGACGTTTCATACGGCCAACAAATCGAAGGACGAACGATGGTATCCACCACGTTAAAGTCCACGTGATAGCAACCCAGATACGACGCTGGTTGGTTGCCCTCTCGTTGACAACAGCTTTTGCGTTCCCACCTTCGGGGTCATTGACCATTTCACCATTCTCGTCGGTGTAATATACCTGTCCCCTCGTGTTGTCTCCTTTGAAGCCAAGTCCATAGTCGCCACCACTGACATTCCGTGACTGTGCGGGGGCAGGCGCTCCCAGAACACTTCGCGCTCCGCCTGCTTGACTTTGGCGACTCGTAAGATGATCATGACTTCCAACGGGCGTTAACTCGTTGTTGGGAGCGGCAAAGAAACCGTTCCCGTTTGGTGCGTTGGAGGAGTATCCAGCGTTCATGTCATGGGCTCCTAGCATGCCTGCCATCCCTCCCGGGCCGCCCATGCTTTGGAACTCCCCATCAGCCGGCTTTAGATCAAGCATGGTTTCAGCTTCCCACCAAGCACTTTCGCGGATCCATAATCGTTCTTTGCCAATGACAACTTCGCCGTTGCTCCAACCACGTTCCATGGTCCAACTCTCAATGCCATCACGGCCATCCTTGCAACCGAGAGAAGAGTATCGTTGAACAAACTCTTCAAAGTCAAAATCGGCGGTAAAATCTAGGTTCTTATTCCGTCGATTGGCCCATTCTGGCAGACGCCATGCGCGAAGCTGGCGTGAGACGGCGCCGGCAGACCAAGCCGAGGTTGTCGTGGGAAGCGAGGCCAGAGTCGCAGGTAAGTCATCGGTAGGATGCGCCGATAAGTGATACCAGACACGACTGCTACCAAGAACAGATGGTAAATCAATACGACCATTGCGGCCCAAATTGATACCTTGGCCCTCAATTGGGAGCAGAAGTTTTTTGAGAAAACCTTCGTCTTCTCCCTCACGGGCAACCTTCTCCAAGACAATCTCACGTTTTTCAAGCTCGTGTTCGCGGTCTCTCCCGGCGGGCCCGGTCATGATCCCAAGGTCTGGAGCAACTTCCGCCACTGCATTTTGCATCTCTCGGATAACAGATGAGCCAACAGCAACCACATCAACACCGTCTTCTTTCATCTCGGCATTAATACCTTGGGTATCATCAAAGACGCCTCGCATTGCGGCCGCTTTTCCCAGATTCGGGTCCGGGATCTCAAGAACAGTTATGCAAACGGTGTCACCATTGTCGTCTTCGGTATTTGGGGTTCGAGCTCCGGGTCCCCCTTCACTCGAAGAATCGCTGTCCTTGATTCTAGCCATCTCGCTAGCGATGGCCTCATTGGCTTTCAAAATGACCCAGTCTACAAGAGCTTCATAAAGTCCACCGATCAGAGTTTCTCGCTCCTGTGTTGTGCATTGCTTGACGAGAACATCAGGTTCCAAGCCAAGAAGACCTCCCACATCTTCACAAATCTCCTCCAAAGCATCTCCATCAAGAATGAAGCTCAAAGTATCACCTAGCTTCAATAATCCTGCGAGTATCGAGATTAGATCTCTGTGCGTCGCACCTTTGATACCGATGGCCTTTAAAGATGCTCTAAAATCGTCTGCGGCCGCTGCATCGTCCGCGGTAGGAAGGTACGATGGGGGATCATATGTGCCAGACTTTTCCAAAAGCGCGTAACTCGAAGCATGTTTCAAGCCCAAGAATTCTCGCTCGGCAGGCGTCGACGCAGATGTGAGAAGGTAGTAAAAGACGTCAAAAGCTCGATGTCCTGGCTCAGCTGGGAGATTTAAAAGCCCCTTCTTGGTGTCAATTCCTCCCTCAGATAATGCTATTGATGCGGCAGTTAAGTTTCCACCTAGTGATAGAGTCAAAGTCACACCAAGAGCAGATTGTCGGGGTGCAGACGGATTTTGAGGGGAAACGCAATGGATGAATGGTCGTAACACGGCAAGGGCGGTATATAATGAATCGGGAATGGAAAGGGGCAAGGTGTTGAGGAACGGAACCAGGATAGAGGGAGTAGCTTCGTGGAGGGAGCTGCGATCGGATTAGCATTAGATTAACATAAAGTTCAATAGGCTTCATACCCTAAAACAATACAACCATCTTCTGCACGTCTTCTGGCATGTTCCCAGGCTCTTGCGGCTAAGGCTGAATCTATTGTACCTCCCGTTCTCCCCTCGCGATCAGGCTGTGAAGCTGATAGCCATGTATTCACAACCAAACTAGTGCTAGCATCCAATCGATATGGTTGGCCGGATGTATAAATGTGGTGGACGGCGTTCAAAAGTGTGGTTGTCGATACTGGGGATGATTGTGGTCCCGCAGCATGAAAGTTTCGAGCGGCTCCTGCAGCAGAAGATGTCATTGAATATGTTGACATACGAGTGTTGCCCGCCATCGTGTAGTGCAGATGGGGGGGAACTATTCCTCCCTCACTCCGATGTTAGAGCCCTATATGTTGATATCAATGTGATTCAACACACCCACAATCGATATCTTCCACAACCGACCCCTTTTCAATGACTCTTTTTTTTAATGATAGCTGTCTTTGATATCAAAAGTCTCGGCAAGGGCGTTTATGTACTGATTCAATAAAATTGGAAGTTGATTGGTGTTATTCTCTCTAAAAGAGTCTCCTCCTCTGGTCGCTGAGCAAGTGAAATAAATGGCTTGACGCAAATGCACAAAAAACGAGAGTTTGGTTTTTGATACTGAGTATTAAAAGAGGAGAAGAAGGAAGTACCGAATAATGGATTTGAAAAGGCTTCACTAAACGAATGAGGTGAAATCAAAAATGGCAGCAAAAATGGAGAAATCGGATGAGATGATGCAAATGCAATTCAAAAATCATAGGAATGTTCTGTTCATACCAGCTGCTTCTTGAGAATAACTTCTTTGGTTAGTAGTAGCAGTGGAGTTGGAGTTGGTTAGAACAAGGTACTGACTGCACTACGGTAGACGATAAGTGATCCCCTGGATTTAAATAAATGGCCGCTACTGCCTACGGAGTGCTAGGTACACTTATTAATTCACTACCACTCGATTTTGTGTTTTTCCTTTCCGGGTGGCTCAATGCTCTCGACAAGGATTAGGATTGTTGATGCTAGCTAAGCCGCATGTCGGGAAGAGAAGAAAGAAGAGATAAATACGAGACTTGCTATGGTTGGTCATCGCTGTTTTAAATTTCTGTCGGAGCTTTTTCCTACATTAGTACCCCGTATGCAATAGTCTGTAAGATCTTATATGAAGAAAAATTGGAGATTCCATGTTCAAATATACTCCGTACTAGGCAATTGCCACTGCATTCATTCAATGCATAGAAGGAAATAGTGGCTCTAGAGTTAGCTGGACCCTTTAAAATTGTTATATCACAACTTTGCCCATCCAATGATATCCTCTTGATACAAAGTACATCATCTTTTGTAAAGTCATTAACCATACTATCCATCTATACATACATGCATACATACATACATACATACATACATACATACATACATACACACACACGCACACACACACACGAACATACATACGAGCTTTTAAAATAGCAAGCAAACTCCAATGTATTTTAAGAATTATACCTAGGTAGTAATCCGTATATTCCATGGTCCATGGTTGAAGACTCGAAGGTTATCGAAAGCTAAAACTAACTAAATGTTCGATGATGGATCGACCCATCGTCTGAGACATGAGGCATGAGTCTACTCCATTGAGACTGTTGGTAATCCAACTGGATCCTAGAATTGTACCGAGTTCTCTCAAGCGTCACAGTCAATATCAATCATTCAAGCTCTTCCCAACCGTGCCCATACCCATAGCTTTGTGAATCCCTCAGACGTGCCTAGATTCTAGGGAGCGAATGGGCTACTAGATGGCGAAAGGTACACAAGCGCTCAGTCTTTTCCCACATCACATATTATGATGATCATGCAGTTGGAAGTAAGTGAAAGGGATATATTACTCTACTCATCTGCCTTCTGCCTAGTACAAGTAAGAACAAGCATGTAGCTAATGATTCAGGACTCAAGATCGATATTTGGGAAAAGGGGGCATTTTACATTTGGATAGATGATGGTAAAATTAATCTTGTATATTTTATATTATTAGATTAACCCATACAGTCAAGTCAGCATTAGCTACCTGGCTCGCCTGGATCGATTTCAAAGGCTCAATCAAAGTGCTCTGCTTTTAAAGATCTACTTCTGTACCCACATTTGATCAATCCATCCACCCCATCCATGGCTTATTATTTAATGAAGAAATGGAAGGAAATTTTGGCGGCCCGGTTGCATCTCTAGAACTTCTCTGGAACGGATCCCCCAAGATCCACAACTACATTAAGGTCACCGGCGTCAAATCTTTTATACCGATGGAACTTGGAAGGAAGGGCGAGAGGCGAATAGAAGGATAAAGGAAGGGTAAGGGTTGAAGGTTTGTTAAGATATCAAGCGTGGGTATGTACCTATATGTATGTACCTGGCAAAAGCAAATATTAAGTTAGAAAAAAGATTATCCGGGAGAACTGAATCAAAATTCGAGGGGGAAATCGTATGTTTATGATAACATGATATACAACTATACCAGTACACTTACCACAATAACCTTCAGCTCTTTTCCAAGTTATGATGAGACGATACGGGAATAATAACACCACATACAGCACAGAGAGATCAACTCGTAGCCATGTATCACACAGTCTGTACTCCTCCATATACTGTACTTGGTAAAAATTGTCAATGGATGATGCTTGTGAAGGTCCCTCTAACCTCGTACAGAGAAGTAAGTAGCCTTGATTACTTTCTTGACCACTTCTAAGTTTCAAGTTTTAAGTTCCAAGTTCAGTTCTCTGCAATGGATACCCTATCCTATCCATCATGCATCATCTTCATTTCTCATTCCCATTCTTATTCTCATTCCCATTCACTTCCACTCCCACCAAATCCAACTCCTATCACGCCAAGCGTGCCAATCAATCGGGAATGTTAGAACTTAGAAACCACAACACGGCCTCCAGTATGATGGGTAGGTATGTACGAAGGAAAGATATTTTCATCGTGATTCGATGAAAGCCTTGTTGTTTACTTGGTGGCTGTGCATAATCTTGCTGTGTACGGGAGTACGTATAGGTATTTTATGATCATCCGCTTGTTTTCTCGTGTTGATTGAATTGTCAATATCAAATGTTTTGTGTTAAGGGGTGGAACCCAGGTTAGGTGTGTGGCGTGTCGCTTTTTATGATGGAGCATATTCTGGGGATTCTTCATATTTGATTTTGTTTTCTTTTTTTTTTTCGTTTTAGATTCTTCTATTGTTTTATCCTTTTACTCCCTCTGTATTCTATTCTTTTCTTCCTCCCCTCCTCTCCTCTTCTCCCCTTCTCCTCTCCTCCTCCCCTCTCCTCACTCCCTACATTTTTGACAAGGTATGATGAACTTTCTTAAGCTCTTCGCTGGCGTTCCTTCCCCTGCTCACTTACTCAAGACTTGCTGATGATTGGTACCCCTGGTCATTCATTACTCCTTAAAATAGTACACACGAGAAATGTTAAAACCCCCCATGCAATAATTACGGTAGACTACAACAATAATTGAAGACTCAAAAATATCTTTACATAGCACACACAGTAGATACCGACCTAGTAAAACATAAGCATAACCACCAACTAAACATACATACCTAATCCACCAATCTACTACCCACCTACCTACAGTAGTACCCAGTACCTAGCCAGAATATTTCCTTTATTTTGCTGCTGCTTGTAGGAAAGTCTGTCTGGTTCTCGTCGGTTTTGGGTAAAAAGAAGGGATTCACAACTTCTTTCCCCCTTCAACATCAGCAACACATCTTTTCGGTTTTCTTTTCAACTGGTTCCTTTTAAACTTTTGGCAACCTCTCAATACATTCACTCGCTTTTGTTCCTTGCTCATAATTCATTCGCTATTTGACTTGGGTTTTTAATAGAGTCTCTCATTCTCTTCTAAAAACTAACCCCTACCTCCCCTTCGCTGAGCCAACCAACTTTCGCACCGAAAGGCGTTGTCCAATTATCCCAATACTGATTGATATCCTTACTTATTCGAAATCAGCCAGAGCATTGAAGATCAATTGAATCACAAATATAACCATTAAGGGTTTCGACCCGCACCCATCCATCATGGCTCTCAATAATCCAAGCAGCGGTGCACACTCGCAGCCATCCCTTCCTGCCTTACCAGCTCACCTACAGTCCGATACACATCTGACGGCACATCTTGCAAGTCGATTTCATGTTTCATTGCCAACGGCGGATCTTTCTTCTCATGCATTAATATCCCTCAATACTTATTCTTCTTCGACGAAGGGTCCAGATGGAGGTAAAGAAGGGAGTGCAATGGGGGGCGCCGAGGGCATGGCCGACAAAGCATATGCAAGACTTGGAGCTAGAACTGAGAACCAAGCGATAGTCTTTTTGTGAGTGGAAGATCTCACATTCAAATTCTTCCCGAGACATCTTTGCTAATGGGGTTGATAGGGGAGAGTCAGGATCTGGTAAAACTACTGTTCGTTCTCATTTGCTTTCGGCTTTACTTAGCAAATCCGGTACCCCTCTTTCCACCAAGCTATCTCTGTCCGCATACGTCTTTGATACTCTCACATCCACTAAAACCGCTACCACTCCAACCGCTTCCAAGGCAGGTCTGTTCTTCGAGCTTCAGTATGACACTGCTTCAACAGTCAATCCAACCTTGATTGGTGGAAAGGTCCTAGATCACAGGTTAGAACGAAGTAGAGTGGCCGCGGTACCGACGGGAGAGAGGAATTTTCATGTCTTGTATTACCTTCTAGCTGGTACCAGTGCTGCCGAAAAGACACATTTGGGATTAGATTCACCTGCAGATCATGGTGGCGCGGGTAATCGACTTTCGACTGGAGGCCAAAAGAGATGGCGCTATCTTGGACACCCAACGCAACTCAAGGTGGGAATCAACGATGCGGAGGGTTTCCAGCTATTCAAGACAGCATTGAGAAAGTTGGAGTTTCCACGGAGTGAAATCGCCGAGATTTGCCAGATCTTGGCTAGTATCCTTCACATTGGACAACTTGAGTTCGAAACGGCTGAGAGCACGTCAGCTATGGGAGATGATAGCGGTGGTTACTCACACGAAGGTGGTCAGCAATTTACGGCTGTCAAAAATAAGGATGTTCTAGCCATCATAGCAGCATTTTTAGGGGTCGGTGCGGCCGATTTGCAAACGACGCTTGGTTACAAGACCAAAATCCTACATAGAGAAAGGGTAACGGTGATGCTCGACCCTAAGGGAGCGAAGAGCAACGCAGATGAGCTAGCAAGGACCTTGTACTCGTTGCTCGTGGCGTATGTCATCGAAAGCATTAACCAAAGAGTTTGTGCGTCGGAGGAGTCGGTTGGAAACACCATCTCCATTGTCGATTTCCCCGGTTTTGCTCAACAGCCGGCCACCGATTCGACCCTTGACCAGCTTCTCAATAATGCTGCAACCGAGGCACTCTACAACTTCACCCTACAAAGCTTTTTCGAGGCAAAGGCTGATATGCTCGAAACCGAGGAAGTAACCGTTGCAGCCACCAGCTACTTCGATAATTCAGACGCCGTCAGGGGTCTTCTCAAGCACGGTAACGGTCTCTTGAGTATTCTTGACGACCAAACCAAGCGCCATAAGACGGACGTACAACTACTAGAAAGCTTGCGAAAACGCTTCGAGGGCAAGAACCCGGCCATCACAGTCAGCAGTGCAACGGCCAAACTACCAGGCAGCAACTTTGCTACTCACAATGCCTCGGCTGCATTCACCGTTAAGCACTTTGCTGGAGAAGTGGAGTATCCGGTTGCTGGTTTGGTGGAAGAAAATGGAGAAGTCATCTCGGGGGATCTCATGAACTTGATTCGTGACACCAAAAGTGACTTCGTAGGCCAGCTTTTTGGTCAAGAGGCCCTTCAACGTATGGTGCACCCACAGGAGAAGTCAACAGTCATGCAAGCTCAAGTCAGCTCAAAGCCTTTGAGACAGCCAAGTGTCATGCGACGAAAAGGAGATCGGCCAAGCCGTTTTGGTGGCTCCAAGAATGCAATGGACTCGGTCGAAGACATCACAGAAACTATCGACTCGGGGAGCAAAACTCGAAAGGGAATCAACATTGACCAAGGAGCTGCTGCACAATACCTATCCTCCTTGGACAATATCCTTAAAGCCCTTAACTCGCAGAACACGAACCCGTACTTTGTATTTTGTCTCAAGCCGAATGACCGTCGCATAGCCAACCAATTCGACAGCAAATGTGTGCGAATGCAACTTCAAACTTTTGGCATTGCTGAAATTAGTCAGCGGTTACGGAACGCTGACTTTGGTCTCTTTATTCCCTTTGGAGAGTTCCTCGGACTAGCAGACACTGAAACGATATTAGTTGGCAGCGAGCGTGAAAAGGCGGAAAATGTCATCGAAGAGAAGAGATGGCCTTCTAATGAGGCGAGGGTTGGAAGCACGGGAGTATTCCTCAGTGAGAGGTGCTGGGCCGAAATTGCTAAGCTGCATGAGCGTGGTTTCGTCGCAGGACGTTATCCCCTGCCATCTGATGATGGTGGAGAGCCCAGACTCACGTCAGGTGATAACTATGGAGCCTCGAAAGAACGTCTTTTGGGTCCTGGAGCCGGTCTACTCACGCCATCACCTGGAGCTTACATCTACGGAGACAAAAAATCTGGTTACTTCGGTAGTCAAGATGATGCACGCTCTGATGCTGGTGCCTCGGCTCTTGGGCAGGGTGATATGTTCCGTAATTTGGACACCAAGGAGCAATTGGCAGAAAAGGGAAATGAAAAGACGATGGTTGAGGTAGAGGAAGTTAAAGTCAGCGGGTCGCGCAAGAGGTGGCTAGCAATGGTGTACATGATGACATGGCTCATTCCTGATTTCTTGATACGATTGGTTGGTCGCATGCCTCGAAAGGATGTTCGACTGGCCTGGAGAGAGAAGCTCGCCATCAACATGATGATTTGGTGGAGTTGTCTCTTCTCCGCTTTTTTCGTTGTACTCTTCCCGAAATTGATTTGTCCTACTCAACACGTCTACAGTGCGGCTGAATTGAGTTCTTACGATGGGAAAAAAGCCGATGCTTACATTGCCATCAGAGGACAGGTCTTTGATCTCTCAGGCTTCTCAACACATCATTACCCATCGATTATACCCCAAAAGAGTCTTCTAAAGTATGCTGGTATCGATGCCACCGGCCTATTTCCCATCCAAGTCTCGGCTGTCTGTCAAGGAACGACAGGATCTATTGATCCCTCAGTGCAGCTCGATTATACTTCCAGCAATGTCAGTGGTTCCGCAGCTACAGTTAGTAGCACGGATACTAATGCTGCGTATCACGACTTCCGTGCCTTCAAAAACGATAGTCGCCCTGATTGGTTTATAGAGCAAATGATCATGCTCAGGGAGTCTGGTTATTACAAAGGTCGTATTGGTTACACAGCAAAGTATGTCAAAACTCTTGCTTCGAAACTGAGCTCAATTGCCATTATACATGGCAAGGTCTACGACTTGACGAAGTATGTTTCGGGAGGCCGTAAAATCATTGTCGCCGAGGGAGACACCGTACCTGCTGGTGTTAATGTCGATTTCATGTCACCCTTAGTCGTGGACTTGTTTCAGCAAAAATCTGGAAAGGATGTTACGAACTACTGGGACGCTCTTGCCATCAGTGACGAGATGCGGTCTAGGATGAAGATCTGTCTCGATAACCTCTTCTATGTTGCAGACGTCGATACCAGAAACTCCGTCAAGTGTCAATTTGCCGAATACTTGATATTGGCTATTACAATTATTCTCTCCTCCGTTATCGTCTTCAAGTTTCTCGCAGCTCTCCAGTTCGGCGGTAGAAACGTTCCCGAAAACCTGGATAAGTTTGTCATTTGCCAAGTGCCTGTCTATACAGAAGACGAGGATTCCCTTCGTCGAGCTATCGATTCTATTGCTAGAATGAAGTATGATGACAAACGCAAACTCTTGGTCGTTATCTGTGACGGTATGATTATTGGTCAGGGTAACGACAGACCCACTCCACGTATCGTTTTGGACATTCTTGGAGTATCAGATACTGTTGATCCTGAGCCTCTAAGCTTTGAATCTTTGGGCGAGGGGATGAAACAACACAACATGGGCAAATGTTATTCTGGTCTTTACGAGGTCCAAGGTCACATCGTTCCTTTCTTGGTTGTCGTCAAGGTTGGCAAGCCTTCTGAAGTTTCGAAACCAGGGAACAGAGGAAAGCGTGATTCTCAGATGGTCATGATGCGATTCTTGAACCGTGTTCATTACAATGCGCCCATGAGCCCCCTAGAGCTTGAAATGTATCACCAAGTCCGCAATATCATTGGTGTCAACCCAACATTCTATGAGTTTATGCTACAAATTGATGCAGATACAGTCGTTGCAGCGGATTCGGCATCTCGTATGGTTTCGGCATTCTTAAACGACACTAAGCTGCTCGGTGTATGTGGAGAAACATCGTTGACGAACTCCAAATCATCGTTTATCACTATGATTCAAGTTTACGAGTACTTCATCTCCCACAACCTTGCCAAGGCATTCGAAAGTTTGTTCGGTAGTGTTACTTGTTTGCCGGGTTGTTTCACAATGTATCGTGTTCGAGCTGCAGAATCCGGCAAGCCACTATTTGTCAGTCGGGAGGTGGTGGATGACTATTCCAACATTCGAGTCGACACGCTTCACATGAAGAACTTGCTCCATCTGGGAGAGGATCGTTATTTGACCACACTACTCATGAAGCATCACAGCAAGTACAAGACTAAATACATCCGCACTGCTCACGCTTGGACTATTGCTCCCGATACCTGGGCAGTCTTCCTTTCTCAACGTCGTCGCTGGATCAACTCAACCGTACACAATCTTGCAGAACTCGTACCTATGTCCGAACTTTGTGGGTTCTGCTGCTTCAGTATGCGTTTCGTTGTTATGATTGATCTGGTGTCCACCTTGGTCCAACCTGTCACTATTGCTTATATTGTTTACCTTGTCGTCCTCGTTATAGAATCGCCATCTTATGTTCCTGTCACGGCTTTCGTTCTACTTGCTGCAATTTATGGTTTGCAGGCAATTATTTTCATCGTGCGACGCAAGTGGGAGATGATCGGGTGGATGATTCTCTACATCGTTGCCATTCCCGTGTACTCCTTATGCTTGCCATTGTATAGTTTCTGGCATATGGATGATTTCTCGTGGGGTAACACTCGTGTCGTGACGGGAGAGAAGGGTAAACAGATCGTCATCACAGACGAGGGAGTATTTGATCCTGCTTCTATTCCGCACAAGAAATGGGAAGACTACCAAGCCGAGCTTTGGGAAGCCCAAACGCAACAGGATGATGATGGACGATCTGTGGTTTCAGGATACTCCTATGGCACCAAGTACCACCCTGGTGTTTCGGAATACGCAATTCCAGCATCTGGAGCGGCATCACATTACAACGGTTATGGCGTTGACTCTAAGAACGGAAATCCATACCAATCTCGACTTTCCTTGGCACCATCTGAAATGGGAATGGGTACACCAGGAAACCGCGCTAGTCAATTCAGCGGGAGTCAATATTTTGGTCAACAAGAAATGGAAATGTCTAATCTGGCGGGCTTACCGAATGATGACTCTATCTTGCAGGAAATCAGGGATATCCTCAGGACAGCTGATTTGATGACGGTTACGAAGAAGAGTATCAAGATGGAGTTGGAGAAGAGATTCGGTGTTTCGCTCGATGCTAGACGAGCTTATATTAATTCTGGTATGTTGTTACTTTGTCCCTGATTTGTATTGCTTGATGACTAATTTTTGAATAGCAACTGAAGCTCTTCTTTCTGGTCAGCTATGAGGGAAATGAATAGGGAGATTTATGTTTGAATTGCATGCATATAAACGGAGTCTATATTTTCATTCTTTGCACGAATTGAAATAATTTTCTTGCCACATTCGAGAAGATTTGAGAGTAATCAATGGGTTGTCGGATTGGATTTGAAGCATTGAAGCGATTTGAATTGTATCGTTGGCAGGGTCGTTGTGAAGAAAGGGAAGGAATCTTAATTGCATTATATTATTGGATTGATTTGAGCTTAAGAGTTATTTCAAAATGGGCAGAATGGAACGCAATGGGGCGTAATTAGGATTTAGGGACCTCTTTTCAGAATAAGACTAATACTTTTTAGTCTAATGTCTTGGCTGTGTCTTGTATTCTGTGAATTCTGCAATGTTGAAAACAACGAAGAAGACGAGCAAATGCGTCGTGGAAGTATAAATAGAATAATAAAGTAGTAAAAGAGAAAAGAGAAGATTAAAATATAAAGAATTTAATTTTAATTTATATATTTAGTTTTTTATTAATTATCTTTTATTTAAATATATTTAGATATTTGATTATTATTTCACTTTGATATATATTCAAGATATATCATTTTTAAATAATTGAATTAAAAAATATATAAAAAAAATATATTAAATGTTATAGATCTCGAATTATAAGAATGATCATATGATTCCTTTATCTATCGGTGAGCTGATAGTCTGTATATCTGGGATCCGATTTATCTATTTTAATATAGGAATATAATAATCTTAAAATCGAATATATATAACTATATAGCTATTGTATAAGTATTTTGTATATATATATAGATATATAACGATCTAGTCGAGGCAGCGGCTGTCTGAGGTTCATATAGTTGATAGTTGTGGGTTAAGGCTATTAATTATTGGTTATTTATTTGAAAGTGAATTTGTTATTAGATTAAATAGAATATTGATAAACTAATTGATAATTGAGTTGAATATAAAGTTTCTAAATTATAAAATTATTCTGATTATATACTAATCTCTTTCAAAAACTTTAAAGAGTTTATATTTCTAAAGATTTCAAGAAATCTAAAAAAATTTATATTTCTAAAGGTTTTATTATATAATATTTATTTTGATAAGTTAGTCTTAGTAATTCTATTTTATTGGAATTGTTTCAGGATAATCCCTTTTTTTAAGATCATTGATATCCTAATATAATTGTTTTAAGATAAATATTTTAGAATAATCATTATCCTAATCTATTTTGTAGAATTAAAATATTTGTTTTATTTTGTTATGATTGTTTAAAATATTTGTTTTAGGGTTTTTAGATTTCTAATTGTAATGATAAGAAATCTCTTTGTAATCGATAATTAAATCATCGATTATTATAATATTATTATAATCCGAATATAAATGATTTGTGATATTTTTTATTTTTTTTAATTAAATATTGTTTTTGATTGTTTATAATTAGCATACAATTTATCAATTCTTGTTGTTTTATATTTTGAATCTTTTTTTTATTATAAATGATTTTTCACTTAATAAAATTCGTCGAAAGAACAAAAAGAAATCTTATTTTATAATTGAAATCAAGAATTCTGACATTGAAATGATTTTATATATTCATTATTGTATAAAAGATCTTTGTTATATAAAGATTCTGAATAATTTATAAAAGATTTATTGTTTCGAATATATATAATCTTGTACTCTTTATGATATAGAATAATATTTAGAAGATGAATAGAATAAGAAAATCCTTTGAATAAATAATTAGGAATTTTTGAACAAATAAAAGGAAAAACTTTAGAAAAAGAAAGAGAAAGTTATAATTAAAATTCTTTATTTTTAAAAACAATAAGATTATTTATAGAATCGTTGTAAGAAGATAATCAAACAAGATCTTAATAAATTAAATGCTTTGAAAGAAAAGGAAAGAAGAAAAAAAAAAGGAAATTGTTATGTTTTTGATATTCATTGTTAATTTTAATTCTTTTGATCAATTTAATTAATTTGATCAATTAACCTTTATTCAATTTGATCAATTATCAATTAATTTTATCAATTCTAACAAAATTTTTACAAACGAATTCAACTTTTTTGATTCTTTTTTGCAAAACATAATAAATTCTATTTTTTTTAAACAAATCTGAATTCTATCAATAAAATTCCTAAAACCTTTTCAAATATTTAATTTCTTTCTCGAATTCTTATATATTTTTAAAATTAAGATAATTTTTTTATTTCATTAAATATTTGATCTTACTTTTAATATATTTGCAATCTAATATCTTCTTTATTTCGTATTCAACATTTTGATTTATAGATATGGTTTCCGTTTCAAAAGTTTTTGATACTTTTAAAAATAATAATTCAAATAGTGATATATAAAATACTAAATGATCATTTATATTTTTTGATATTATCAATTTATAATTCAAAAATCCTTTAACTTTCTTGATTTTGAATAATCCTAATTTCTTGTAATTCAATTTTGTATTAAATCTTTGTTTCAATATTTTTTCGAAATAGATAAATTTTATCTCTTTCTTTTTTATTGATTTTTGATTATATTTCTCATTACAGTAAAACATATTTTTTTTAATAATAAATTTTAGTTCTATTATTATTTCTTTATAAATTTCTTTAAATTTCTTTGTTTGTATTATTATTGATTAGTTTTCAATTTTTATAATTTTTAGTTTATAATATATAATTGATTTGTATTTATAATTAATATAATTTGAAGTGATTTATATTGTTTTTGAAGTTGAATTGTTATATATAAATTATATCAAAGATAATAGTTTTATTTAATTATTTTGTTAATAGTTTATATAATATCAAAAATAAACTTTAACAATTTGATTCACTTTATTCCTTTTATTTGTTTATAGATGGAATATTATAAATATTTTTCTTTTTATATTCAATAATGCTATTAAAACAATCTAAAATTTTGATATAAAAAGTTTATTTTTATTGAAAAGTATTTCTTTTAGTAATCTATATATTATAATAATCTTTTTTAGAAATATTGAAATTAATATATTTATAATTAATATTATCTAATATAATATAAATATAAGATATACTATTTTTGTTATTAAATTCTTGGATTTTGATAATGAACTTTTTAAGTCTTATATTATAATATTGATTTCCATAATATAAATAATATTTTGATAATATTCATTTATTTATAAGGAATATAATAGGAAGTTTTATTTCTAATATAAATATTATATTTAATGATTACTTTATTGATTATATTTTGAAATTTTGGATTCCAATATTGTTTTGGATTTTAAATATCTTCTTTGTATTTCTTGATATTTATAAGTTAATAATATATATTATTCTTTAATATATTTGAGAATTATATTTTGTTCTTTATTTATAATAATCTATTGGTAATTATAGATGATTTTAATCATTTAATATTTTCTTTATTTTATTATATTATTATAGATTTATTTTTCCAAATCTCTATTGATTTATTCTTTAAAATAATGATTTCTATTAAATTTGAAATAAGATCTTTATTTAATAAGGATTTCAAAATTATTGTTTTCTGATAGGTTTTATTATTTTTGTAATTTGATAGTTTATTCAAAGTATTTGTTTTTATATTGTTCTTTTCTTCGATATATTTGATTATTAAATCAAATCTTATTAATTCTTTAATCTATCAAATTAATTTTTGATTATCCAAGATTTTAATGATAATAAAGATTTGAAGATTTATATAATCAATATAAATGATTATTAAGAATTTGGTTTTTTAGAAGTAGATTCTTTAATATTTTTATATTTTTATAATAGTTATAAGTTCTTTTGTATAAATATTATAATTTTGTTTTGTTTTATTTATGTTATTTGAATAATAAATGATAAAATATAATTCCTATTATTGTTTTTTTGTAAATAAACTTTTATTATATAGATATCAAAAGTATTTGTTTTGATGATATTTTCTTGATCATTATAATAATTATAAAAGATAAACTCTTTAATAAATTTATCTTTGATTTTTTGAAAAATCTATTCTGCTTTTTTGTTTTATATAAATATCAATTTTTATTTAATTATTTCGATAAAGGGCTTTATTATTTTAAAGAAATCTTTTATAAACATTCAACAAAAATTGATGAATTTTAATATAGATTATATATTCTTAATATTCCTAAATCGTTTCTAATTTTTTATCTTTTCAATTTTTTTTAAAATCTATATTTATTTGTTTTAGTTGTATAATATATTTTAAGAAATTTATTTTCTATATTTCAAATTCGTATTTTGATAATTTGAATTGTAAATTTATTTTTCTGAATGTTTCGAGTATTTTTAATATATGTTTTTTATATTCTTTTTCTTTTTGAAAGAAGATTAGAATATTGTTTAAATAATAGATTGCAAATAAATTGAATTTCTTAAATATTTTATTATTTTATTATTGATATATAATTGATGTATTAATTAAATCGAATAATATAATTGTATATTTTTTTTAATTTTGTTAGTAATATAAAGATTATTTTTTATTTGTAATTCTTTTTTATTTATATAAGATTAAAAACATTTCTTTAATTGAATTTTATATAAATTATTATTTTATTCAATTTATTTCTAAATTCTTAGGTTTTTGGTATTGAATATATATCTTTGATTGTTTTATTATTAATTTAATAATAATCTTTATAAAATTGATTATTTAGATTACCTTTTTTGAATATTGATAATATTGAATATATAAAGGGATTTAGATTTTCTAATTCATTTTTTCTTTTTAGTTTTAGTTTTGTATTCTTTTTATACTTTTATAATATTGAGATTTTATAATTTTAACTTTTTGATAAAGAATATAAATTCCTTTTTGAAATTAATTTTACAATTCTAAGATTTATATTTTAATAAAGTTTTCAAATCTTATAAATCTTTAAATAATTTGATAAATCTTTTATATTATATTAGAACTTCTTTTTCATCAGTTTTTTTAATTAATAAAAGATCTGTTATTGTTATAATACAATATCTGATTTTTTAGAAAATTTGTTTTTTTAGATCATATAGTTATTTGTTTTTGTATCTGTAATAATCGAATGTTAAGGTATTTTTTATCTAATCAATATTTACATTATGTTTTTTTAATTTAAAGAGTATTGAAGATGATTGTATATTTGTTTAATGATATTAGATTTATTTTGATTTTGTTTAATATATTTGCTTGATATAATTATATTGATTTCTTTATATATTTAATTATTAATTTCGACTTTTTTATTTCTTAATAATATTAGCTAATAAAGATTTTGTTTATTTTAGCCAAATTAGGATCTATAAATATTCTTATAGTTTCTAAATCAATCAAAGTTTTGATCTTTTAG